GTCGTGCCATTCACATGGGACGGGCATTTTGTCGACGTCTCATCGACGAGATGTGCAAGTTAAAGTCTCCATTTCACAGATGTCGGCTCACAAAGGGCATCAAGGATGACTTGGTATTGTGGTTACAATTTCTAGAACATTTTAATGGCATATCAGTTTTTCAGAGTCCTGCGTGGGCGTCAAACACAGTCATTCAGCTCTTTACTGACGCAGCCGGCGGTGCAGGTTTCGTGCTTACAACCAAGGCAAATGGACATGTGGGCGTTGGCCACAGCAATGGGTGCGGGAGGGCGTGACGAGGGATATGACGCTGTTGGAATTGTTCCCTATTGTATTGTCTGTCCAAATTTGGGGCGAGTCGTTGGCCAACAGACGAATTCTGTTTAATTGCGACAATCAAGCGGTCGTTCATATCATCAATAAGCAGTCTTGTCGCGTCCCTCGTACTATGTCTCTTGTGAGACGCTTCGTTCTATATTGCTTGCAGTACAATATCACATTTAAAGCTGTATACATTAGTACCCATGCCAATGTTATAGATGACTCTCTGTCGAGATTTCAGTGGGACCAGTTCCGCAAATGTGCGCCAGAAGCGGACCGGACACCAACACCCCTACCGGACGGGATCTGGGACCTCTAGATCGGGAGGTCCAGCGACTGCTACACAAGTCCATGTCGTCGAACACCTGGTCGACATACCACACGAGCTTGCAGACGTTCCACGCCTTCAGACGAGCCCATGAGCTGTCACCACTTTGGCCGGCCCCGATTGATCAGGTTGTGCATTTCATTTCGTATCTGTCGGTTAATCATTACTCCAGCAGTACAGCTAAAACATACATCTATGCACTATCATCCTTTCTTAAGTTAAATGGGTGGCAGGATTGCACCGATCACTTCTTGGTTTCTAAGTTACTTGCTGGCATGTCACGTGACCAGTCGCGACGTGACACACGTAAACCAATAACTGTTGATTTGTTAAAGTTAATAATCCGTAATCTTCCAGCGGTGTGCAGCAACGTATATGAGCAATGTCTTTTCAAAGCTGTTTTCTGTGCCGCATTCTTTGGATTTTTCGGGGTGGGGGAGCTCGTACAGACCTCGGTTGATCAGCCAGGCATTGCCACCAATGACGTGAAGCTGGACAAATCTGCCGGGCGAGTACAATTTACTTTGAGACGCTTCAAGACTGACAGGCTGAACAAAGGCGTGCTTGTTGTCATTTCCTCCATCCCCTCCAACCCCTTGTGTCCCGTGACAGCTGTCCATTCTTACCTTAACATTCGCCCAAGTGGTCCACAGCAAGCCTTTATCCACTTTGACCACTCCCCTCTCACAAGATATCAGTTCCAGGCCGTGCTTAAAAAAGCATTAGCGCACAGCGATGTAGACACCTCAGCGTTTTCTTCCCATTCTTTTAGGATTGGGGCTGCAACAACGGCTGCAGCAAACGGCGTTAGCCCACACACAATTAAAAAATATGGTAGATGGGGGTCCGATGCATATGAATCCTACATTCGTTTGCCAGTAATCATTTAGCACAATCTAACAGATATATTTCCTTTCACTTGTCCCACTCTTTTCAGTGTGGCTGATTGGGTCATCCTATATGGCCAGAGCTCAACGTTCGTCTGGGGCGCTTCGACGTGGTACGTGGTTCGTTCGAGGGGGGGATGAGATGGAGGGAACTGGTCCCAATCATCGAGAGGGAAAGCGTCGTTCAACCCCATCCCGCGGTGCTCGTAATCCACCTCGGATCTAATGATATGGTACAGACCAAGACCAGCCTGCTGTACCTCGACATCTTGGAGTCGCTGCTGTGGGTGCAGCTACTGCTGCCCAACTCGAGGATCTTGTGGTCCAACATGCTACCCCGTCGCCACTGGAGCGGTGCCGCCTCGTTTTCGGCCATCGAGGGGGCCCGCAAGACCCTCAACAGGTGGGTTGGGAACCGCGTGAGGGAGCTGGGGGGAGTGCAACTAAGGCATGACATTGAAAGTGCTGACAGTTCCATGTTTTCATGGGACGGCGTCCACCCACAACAATTTTTATTATTTGTGTTGTATGCGCGACGTCAACGCACATTGGGTTCACGCCGCCGGTCCAACAGAGAATGTGTTTTGATAACACCCTACCTTGGAATATGTAAGAATGTTCATCTTTGAATACACACCGAGTTATGCTTATATCCCAATACTGAGAAAGGTTTATGTCCAATCACGTAATACTGAAAGTTTATACAGCAGTGTAATCCCATCTAGGAATACTGGGAGATGTTCGTATCCCATCATGGGATACTGTGAAATGTGTATATCCCATCACAGAATTCCTAGAGGTGTTTATATCCCATCACGGAATACTGAGAGATGTTTATATTCCATCATAGAATTCCTAGAGCTGTTTATATCCCATCATGGGATACTGTGAAATGTGTATATCCCATCACAGATTTCCTAGAGGTGTTTATATCCCATCACGGAATACTGAGAGATGTTTATATTCCATCATAGAATTCCTAGAGGTGTTTATATCCCATCACGGAATAATGAGAGATGTTTATATCCCATCACGGAATACTAAGAGATGTGTATATCCCATCATGGAATACTGAGGGATGTTTATATTACATCATAGAATATTTAGAGGTGTTTATATCCCATCACGGAATACTGAGAGATGTTTATATCCCATCATAGAATTCCTAGAGGTGTTTATATCCCATCACGGAATGCTGAGAGATGTTTATATCCCATCACGGAATACTGAGAGATGTTTTTATTCCATCATAGAATATTTAGAGGTGTTTATATCCCATCACGGAATACAGAGAGATGTTTATATTCCATCATAGAATACTTAGAGGTGTTTATATCCCATCACGGAATACTGAGAGATGTGTATATTCCACCCATCACGGAATACTGAGAGATGTATATATTCCATCATAGAATATTTAGAGGTGTTTATATCCCATCACGGAATACTGAGAGATGTTTATATTCCATCATAGAATTCCTAGAGCTGTTTATATCCCATCATGGGATACTGTGAAATGTGTATATCCCATCACAGATTTCCTAGAGGTGTTTATATCCCATCACGGAATACTGAGAGATGTTTATATTCCATCATAGAATTCCTAGAGGTGTTTATATCCCATCACGGAATACAGAGAGATGTTTATATCCCATCACGGAATACTGAGAGATGTGTATATCCCATCATGGAATACTGAGGGATGTTTATATTACATCATAGAATATTTAGAGGTTTTTATATCCCATCACGGAATACTGAGAGATGTTTATATCCCATCATAGAATTCCTAGAGGTGTTTATATCCCATCACGGAATGCTGAGAGATGTTTATATCCCATCACGGAATACTGAGAGATGTTTTTATTCCATCATAGAATATTTAGAGGTGTTTATATCCCATCAAAGAATACAGAGAGATGTTTATATTCCATCGTAGAATACTTAGAGGTGATTATATCCCATCACGGAATACAGAGAGATGTTTATATCCCATCACGGAATACTGAGAGATGTGTATATCCCATCATGGAATACTGAGGGATGTTTATATTACATCATAGAATATTTAGAGGTTTTTATATCCCATCACGGAATACTGAGAGATGTTTATATCCCATCATAGAATTCCTAGAGGTGTTTATATCCCATCACGGAATGCTGAGAGATGTTTATATCCCATCACGGAATACTGAGAGATGTTTTTATTCCATCATAGAATATTTAGAGGTGTTTATATCCCATCAAAGAATACAGAGAGATGTTTATATTCCATCGTAGAATACTTAGAGGTGATTATATCCCATCACGGAATACAGAGAGATGTTTATATCCCATCACGGAATACTGAGAGATGTGTATATCCCATCACGGAATACTGAGAGATGTTTATATCCCATCATAGAATTCCTAGAGGTGTTTATATCCCATCACGGAATGCTGAGAGATGTTTATATCCCATCACGGAATACTGAGAGATGTTTTTATTCCATCATAGAATATTTAGAGGTGTTTATATCCCATCAAAGAATACAGAGAGATGTTTATATTCCATCGTAGAATACTTAGAGGTGATTATATCCCATCACGGAATACAGAGAGATGTGTATATTCCACCCATCACGGAATACTGAGAGATGTATATATTCCATCATAGAATATTTAGAGGTGTTTTTATCCCATCACGGAATACTGATAGGGTGTTTACATCCCATCATAGAATTCCTAGAGCTGTTTATATCCCATCACGGAATACTGAGAGATGTTTATATCCCATCAGAATATTTAGAGGTGTTTATATAAAACCATGGAATTCTGAGAGATGTTTATATCCCATCATAGATTTCCTAGAGGTGTTTATATCCCATCACGGAATACTGAGAGATGTTTATATTCCAACATAGAATAGTTAGAGGTGTTTATATCCCATCACGGAATACTGAGAGATGTTTATATCCCATCAAAGAATACACAGGGGGGTGGGGTGTGTGTGTTTGTTAATGGATGTGGCCCGGGCTGTGATAATATGTAGTATAGATCCAATACACGATATCGATAAATTCCACAAGACAATCCATTTCATAGACAATCCATTTCCAGTGTCTCCCACCGTGATATTGCCGAATTATTGCTAAAACCGGGGTAAAAATATACTCACTCACTCACTCACCCACTGAAAACCAACCATGTCCTATGAACATTGTCAAATACTATTCTATAAATAAGTTTATAACAAAAAAGCAGAAAAGGTATGTTTGACGAGATTTATTTAAATGCACGACTTCCACAAGCTGGTAACCTTTGACCCACTATCCCACATCAAGGTCACAAATAACCTATCTAGGCGTAGTGTCACAGGGTAAAGGCTAGAGATATCAATAGTGAACTAACTTTTTGAATGGATCTTCGAAATATGCAATGAGCAATTTCAAAACATACAAAACCCACAAATTGGTATGAAAAGGTATGTTTGGCGGGCTTTATCAAGATCACAAATAGCCTAAGCATAGTGTCACGGGGGTAAAGGCTGGAGATATCAATAGTGAATTAACCGTTTGAATGGAATTATTCAAATAACATTGCCAGCTTCGAAATATACAAAATGCAATTTTAAAATATAAAAAATCCACAAATTGTTCTAATCATGGAACACCTGTTTAGTTGTCACAATGAACATAAGACTTTTCTTAATTCAAAAAATATAGAAAACCCAAAGTGTTTGTCACGTTCATGTACGGTATGAACATGGAAATTCAAAAAAGTTCTCATAATAAAGGTAGAGCGAAATATTACCAGAAAACGAAAATATTGCAATTTTGTCAGCACGGTTTCCCTGATTCCGAGTAATTCCGAGTAGTTGTTGTTGACATGTTCCCCATCACTGTTTTCATGAGGAGGTGGAACGGTATGTACACATGTATTCTATACTGTTTGAGGAGCTCTATACATGCCAGTGTGTTGTCTCACGTTTCCTCCATTATGAGTCTGGAAATAAGACCCGGGCCACGTTCTTCCCTAACTGATATCTGGCATTCACCAACTGTGATATTATTGAATACGGAGGAGCCTGAGAGTCCACTTTTATTTGACTCTCTTCTAACCTCAATTTCATATCTGCATGACTTTTCTAGAATCAATGCCTCGGACAGCTTCAGTTCGACTTCATTGGGAAAACGTCTCACTACCGCAGGTAATTCTTCTCTATTGAGTTTAGCCTTCCAACCACGGCCCGCTATCGGCCTCCGACACTCTTTACGCAGACAAATGCTATATTTGCAGCTGTCATCACCAAATGCCCTGAGACCAAGTAGTCGCATGTCCTCGCTGCATGCGATGATGAGTATGTTAGACTCCTTCTGACATTGATCCCTGTCAATTCGATCTGCATACAGAGTGACCCACGTGTCAAGTTCTGGCTTTATTTTGAAGGGTGCCACATCGGTACCAGGTAAAACCATATGACACAACAGCTTGGTACATTCGTCGCCCGATAATATTCCAGACGGTACAACTACTTTTGCGAAGGCCTCCATGCCCATTGGGGTGAAATCAAGCTCGTACACGGTTTCTCCCAGAACAAGACGTTTGTTTTCCGGACTTACCTCCCTTCCTTGGCGTTTACACTCTGTCTCAGCCCACAAGAGGGCAGCATTGAAACGTGTTTCATCTATTGTTAAAAATTTATCTGAACTTACAACTTTATGAAAACACGACGTACAAAGAGTTTTGAAGCCAGGGCTACGGACAACGGTACCACAACGTTCGATAATACACTTCAGAGCCCTGTCAAAAAGCTTCTCCTCGTCAAAGACGTGGGCTTGTTCCAAGATGACACAGGCATTCTCTGCCGTCAGGGACGATTCCAGGTAAGCGACACATAGACGCTCTAGAGCCCCCACGGAGTACTTCTTGGCCAGGTACAACAAACCTGTCACATTCTTAGCAGTCAGGATTGTCTTGTCTGTGTACAGGTACCTGTAAGTGATATGGATTCATGGCAATTAGGCCCTGTATAATGCTTGAGCAAAGTTTGACTTTTAGTATAAACTGTATCCAGTCTGAATACTTTGATAATACACGAACAAGGCCAGAGTTAAGCGTTTTATCATGTGTCTGGACAGGAATCTAAATGTAACATATTGATTGGCATTACAATAATGTTTGATCTCAGCTGATAAGAGTCAGTCCATATACCGATTACGTAAACGTTTATCTTTTCTGCGAGACTCGTCATAGAATAAAGTCTTCCTAACTGCCTCAAATTCGTAACTTCATGATACTGCACAGGAGCGGTGGGGTAATCTAGTGATAAAAGAGATCGCTCATTACTGCGATGATCCCACACAGTGTGAAGCCCATTTCTGGTGTCGATCGTCGGGATATTGCTGGAATATTGCTAAAGGCGGCGTAAAACCATACTATCTCGCTCACTATCAATAGTCCTATGCCTTTTGACATTAACGGTAAGTACAAATAACTGATAATTGACAAATTTTTCATAGTCACCTTTTTTCACACGAAATTGAAATCAATTGATTTGGGTTTAATTTTCAAAATTCGTTACTCGGAGCCCAAAGTCTCGTGAAATTATTATAAGCCTCATCTTTTTATTAAAAATATATATAATTTATTGAAACTAAGGAGTGTTTAAGAAACATGAAATCAATGTATTGTGTATACTCTTTGTGTAGCGTACCAGGTACTAATATGTAACACACCTTCATGAGTTTGTAAACTTATAATCTTTGAGACAATATATGTAACCCTTAAGGATAGCCGGCACATGACCAGTGCTAACAGTACAGTAAAACACTTACACGGACTTACGATTGCCTCGAATTAAAAGTTTGGCCCCGCGTAGTCAGAATTTAGTAGGGCTGCGCAGTATAACCGGTTCAGACATAAAAACGATACGTATTGCGATACGCTGATCGAAAACCGGTATTTTGACATTCATTCGGAAAACTTCGGATATTTCCGGGTTTTTTAAATTCTTCCTTTCGTTTTTTTTATTTTTGCTAAATATTATTTACATTTTATTTTGTCATGATTAAAAGTTTTTTATTAAAGCTAAATCAAGCATAGTGAGTTTGTTGTATTCATGATTGATAAATCAAGCATTAACTCGAATATAAGTAGTTTTTCATTTAAAAAAACCTTCTTTCAATATATTGCAATACATATTGGAATATATGCTTTCGCATCGCAATTTAAAGCAATATGAAAATTCTCTGCAATACCCACCCCTAGAATTTAGTCCTTATTTTGCGAACCTCACTTTAACCTCGATGCATCGGTTTTGACTCTGTTAATATACATAATGTCCTGCGGGGATTTGTAATGCCATGAGTTATTGTACCTATACTTCTGGTGACCTTGTATCACATAAGAGACGGTTCTTACATTGTTGTAAAAATACCCTTGTCACAAACTGTTTGACACTTAATTCATAATTAGATCCCTAAAATCACCATGAATGTTAGGTGAGACCATGAAAGAGCAAGTTTTGACTTTAAACAAAAACATATTTTTTTAAATGATAGAGAAATGTTGTATCATAATAAAATAATTAAATGGGATATTTATATCTAGCGTTAACCAGCTGGGCTTTTATAAATGACAATGACACTTAACAGTATTCTACAGCTATGACCATGACCAATAATGTGACCAATACCTAACCGCCTTAGGTATATATACCTCAACGCTTCAGAGAATAGTTCCTCCTCCACATCTGGGATCTTGATGTCCTCTTTCTCCGCCAGGGGGCCACACAGCATGGCGTAGAACACACAACTCCGACTCGACAGAACATATCGGTGAGCTCGGACGAGCTTCCCTTCTTTCCCAACCAGAAAGCTGACGTCACAAGAATCCTCAGAGGTCAACATATGGAGGTTACACTCCGCCAAGGTCTTCCCACTTTGCCAGTTGTCAACGAATCCGGAGTTGTCTCCACTTACTTCCACAGAAGCCATAGTGTTTCTGAATGCTATCTGTTGGGACGATGCTAAAATGCAGAATTTTACCGGAATCAAAACATTGTGTCTTTCTCGAATATAAACTGAGAATTGTTCCACAGAATTTATGCCCTAACGACCGCGTTTGCCTGTTTAGAGCGTGTTTCACATAGCTATCAATTATTATGGTACAAAAAACACACTCCATGTCCAAAGTAAATGAGTGGTTTATGTTCCCAAATTCATGTTCTAAAATTCTTGGAAATGGGGTGAATATTTCCACTTTTCGCAAGACTATGACCGTTTTGTTGATGCCTCACACCCAGTACGTATATTACATGGGCCTCCTGAGTACGACAACAGAGTGAGTGAGTTTAGATTTACGCCGATTTTAGCAATATTCCAGCAATATCACGGCGGGGGACACCAGAAATGGGCTTCACATATTGTATCCATGTGGGGAATCGAACCCGGGTCTTCGGCGTGACGAGCTAACGCTTTATCCACCAGGTTGCCCCATAGCAACACGACAATAGAGAAATTGGATCCAATTTCAGAAGTGTACCCTAATACAAATACAAACTGAATAACACACGTGTATTTAATTTTCCCCTTGGACTAATGCTTAGTGTCTGAATGTATAATATAATTTTGATAGAAAGAAACAATTCCTTATGAACTGAAAATAGCCCCAGTGAGATGGGTGATTCAGAACCTAAGAAAGGGCTAGGCAGAAGGGACAACAATGCGGTTCGGTGACTGTGAGACAGACACTCCTTAAACATTATTGATGGCTAACCACAATTAGATTATATCTGTTTCAAAACTACAGAGGGAGAGATACAGCTGAACAGTCGTATATAAACTATCTCACTCCATGGTACAGAACAATCCGGTAATTAAGATGTGTCCTTCACCTTTGATTCCATGGTTCGTGTGAACCCAAATACGATTTGTTTGGTTGGTTGGTTGTTGCAATTTGCCCGTATAAGAAATGAAAGCAGACGTCGCACTCTGTAATATTCCAGCTATATTACGGCGGTGTTTAAATAATCGAGTCTGGACCAAACAATCCAGTGGTCAACATCATGAGCATCGTTCTAAACATTTGGGATACGGTGACATGTGTCAACCAATTCAGCGACCCTGCTCACCCGATCCCGTTAGTCGCCTCTTACAACAAGCATGGTATGCTACAGATCAATTCTAACCGGGATAAAAATCGTAATGACGTAATCCGTCTCTGTAATTTCCACATAAAAGAAATGAAAGTAGACTTCTTCTAAATTCCATATTGGAAATTGCATTGAACTGGAACAAGTTCAGGTGTCACCATGGCGGGAACAAACATGACTTTTATTCAGGTGATTTATACACGTGTACTGGTTGACTACCTGAGAATGAATAGTAGCCACTTCTAACACTGGAATGTATATTACTTGCCATAATGTGACACAATGTTACATATTCTTTCACTTATTGAAACCATCCCATCGTCTTAACCTTAACTTACAAAAAATATTTCAAAACAAACATAGAGGTTGTAGCCGAGGCTTCCTATTAAGAAGTGATCGCGATACAGAGAATAAACAAATAGACATTTCAAATTAATGTGTCACCTTCATATAAACCATAACAATATGGCATAATATTACTTTTTGTGAAAATTAAGATCTGATTATGACAAACATAATCCGAAAACGTTATTTGTTTAAGTTTTAATGTGTATAAAATCCTCATATTTGTCACAAAGTATGCCAGTTATCTCCCTTGAATACAATCTACTTCCGCGTCTCACAGATGAAAGGGGGATAAAATAACTGCACATTTAGACTTACATCGGCCTAGGTCACCGAAATGACGAAATATTCTCTGCCATTTTCCTCTATCAGGAATGAAAGTAGAATTCTTGGAATCGCCTTGCCTATACCGAAAACGAAAGTACGGTATTTCAAATGTGTCTCAAAGATATGATTCTAACTTAAAACAACTGATCGTCACATTCGCATATTTTACACAAACCTGACATGGAATCAGGCTGCTGTCATCTTTGCACTTGTGTCATATAGTTCTGGTTTTATGACAAAGTAAACATGTGTCGTAGTCGTTCCTCACAACTCACCTTACTCGGCTGATCTCTCGCCACTGTATATGAACGTGTCACGTGACAACACAGCGAGGTATGACAAAAGAGATCGTTTTCTTTCGAAACTGCGAGTGCTTAAAGGCATGACGCTATTTTCTTATTTTACTCCCTTCGTTTATATTTAATTTTGATTAGGTATTTCTTTTTTTTAAAATTAATTTGTATTTTTATTGTATTTTGGGGGCTTTTACTTTCAAATGCATTCTCCATTGACAAATATGTTTGGATCCTGGGATGAACATAACATGGCGTAGTTCGGATAGAATTACTTCACACGCCCGCTGACACATAGTTTGCAGCTCGTCTGCTTGTTGGATTGAAATAAATATTGTTTGTTCAATAAATGCCAAAGAGATATATCAGGGAATACTTAGAGATGTTCGTGTTGGATTTTGTTAATGGATGTGGCACGGGCTGTGATAATAAGTAGTATATACTAGGCACATAAAGAAACTGTGCATTCTCAAAATATTATCCCAGTTAATAATTACGATAACAATGTCAAAGGTACATAAAAAAATTAATGGAGGGATCATGAGACCATAACAAGTAGGGAGAATTTCAACTGAAAAGTCAATCACAATGACGTCACGAGTCCAAAAGCGGGACAGGGGTCAAACGACCATGTCACAAGCTCAATAACGGGTTTGTCCACCATCGGCATTGAGAACAGCAGTGCATCGACGTCGCATAGAGCCTATCAAACGTGCAATGGAGGCTTGTGGCATGTCACGGCAGATTCTCTCAAGTTCTGTTGCAAGGTCAAGGACGTTATCTGGCGGATGAGGAAGACGGCGTAGACGTCGATCCATCTCGTCCCAATCATGCTCTATCGGGGAGAGATCCGGTGAATTTGCAGGCCAAGGCAGTAAGTCAACATTGTTGTGTTGCAAGAAATCGCAGCCCTTGCCGTATGAGGGCGGGCATTGTCCTGTTGGAATGTTAACCCAGGGCCATGACTTTGCAGAAAAGGAATTGCCACAGGTCGAAGAATCTGATCCCTGTAGCCCACACCAGTTAAGTTGCCCTGAACAATCACCAAAGGAGTTCTTTGGCGTGCTGTTATTCCACCCCAAATCATCACGGAACCACCACCAAAGCGAATCCTCTCCAAGACACAGGCCTGTGCATAACGTTCTCCCACGCGTCTATAGGCACGTTGACGTCCATCACTATGGGAAATGTAAAACCTGGACTCATCTGCAAAAACAACATTTCTCCACCAAAACAAGGGTCTGCGGACATGATTTCGGCACCACATTCGGCGTGCTTGTCGATGACGTTGTGTCAGGATAGGCCGTATGGCGGGACGTCGTGGTCTGATCCCGTGATGACGTAAACGTTGTCGAACTGTTTTGGGGTGGATACGGCGAAGTCCTGGGATGGTTCGGGCAGTCATCACTGCAGTCTGAAACCTGTGGCGAAGATGGGTCACCCTTATCCATAAGTCCTGTCTCGGCGATGTTACACGTGGACGTCCAGAACGTGGCCGATCGATGACGTCATTTGTGTTCTGGTAGCGTCTCACCAGTGCAGAAATGGTTTTCCGGTGGCAGTGGAAATGTGCAGCCACTTGTCGTTGAGACATTCCCCCACGGACCATCCCAATGGCCTCATGACGTTGTACAGACGTGAGCCTTGGCATGCTATGCGTTTTATTAGCCGTTTAATTTTTTGAACGATCGCAAGGGCAGGGGTTGAGCTTTCCAAAGTGACAGTATTGTGTGGCATTCATTTGCTCTGTTTCTCTTTCCCGTAATGCACGTGCAACAACGTATTGCACGTCTCAAGGACGTACCCACTAACGTCACGGAACGTGGCACGTGCATGCATGTTGGATACATGTCACTAATCTCTGAGTTTAAATCCTTATGTGTCTACACAGGTTTGATAAATTTAGATTTTAAATTTTTGTATGCACAGTTTCTTAATGTGCCTTGTATAGATCAAACGGGTATCGATAAATTCCACATAGACAACCAAGCCGTTACAACAGATTGCATAGATCTGCAAGTTGTAGACATTCAATAAGCAGTGTACGAAACTCACCAAAATCTTGTACCTGGCCACGGGGCTGATAACGTATTAGGGGCAATGGGGTAGCCTCATGGTTAAAGCGTCCGTTCGTCACACTGAAGACCCGGGTTCGATTCCCCACATGGGTACAAAGTATGCAGCCCAGTTACGGTCTACCCGCCGTGATTTGATTTGAACTCACTAACTCACTGAAAACCAACCATGTCCTATGAACATTGTCAAATATTATTCTATAAATAAGTTTATAACAAGAAAGCAGAAAAGGTATGTTTGACGAGATTTATTTAAATGCACGACTTCCACAAGCTGGTAACCTTTGACCCACTGATCCCACATCAAGGTCACAAATAACATATATAGGCGTAGTGTCACGGGGTAAAGGCTAGAGATATCAATAGTGAACTAACTTTTTGAATGGATCTTCGAAATATGCAATAAGCAATTTCAAAACGTACAAAATCCACTGTCACAAGAATCCTCAGAGGTCAACATGTGGAGATTGCACTCCGCCAAGGTCTTCCCACTTTGCCAGTTGTCAACAAATCCGAGTTGTCTCCACTTACTTCCGCAGAGGCCATTTCGTTCCTATTTTTTTTTCTGTTGGGACGATATTAAAAGCAGAATTTTACCATAATCAAACCATTGCGTCCTTCTAAAATATAAACTGAGAATTGTTCCTCGGAATTTATGCCCTAGAGATAGCATTTGCAAGATGAGTGTGTGAAAAACTTCCATGTTCAAAGTAAATTGCTTTATGTTGTGTAAAATTCTTGGAAATGGGGTAAATCTTTCCACTTTTCGACAGACTGGGACCGTTTTGTTGCTGCCTTAGACCCACTACGTATATTACAGGGGCCTTCGGGACACGACAATAGAGAAACCAATTTCAGAAGGCCTTAATCCATTCTTGAACAACACATGTGTATTCCCTTTTCACTTAGACTAATGTTTAGTCTCTGAATGTATACAATTCCTTTAAATCGAAAAGTAGCCCGAGTGAGATGGGAGATTCAAAACCTGAAACTGATTAAATCCAGACTTGCTTCTTTTAGGACTTAAGCATTGCAGAAAGGGCTAGGCAGAAAGTTAATAATGCGGTTCAGGGACTGTGAAATAGACAACGTTTTCCTTTACTTTATCTCGAAGGTATGTATTTTTGTTTCATTTTATACATAGTTCACCACAATTAATTTGATTATATCTGTTTCAAAACTACATGAAATATCTGAACAGTCATAACTATCTCACTCCATGGTGCAAAACAATCCAAGAAGTGTCCTTCACCATGAGTTCATTTCCCCGTATAAGAAAAGAAAGTAGACTTTTTCGAAATTCCATATTGAAAATCGCATTCAACTTGAACTAGTTCAGGTGTCATCATGGCGGGAACAAACATGACTTTTTTCAGGTGATTTAAACACGTGGACCTGGTTGACTACCAGAAAATGTATAGTCTCTACACTGGAATGTATATTACTTGGCATACCGTGACACAATGTTACATATTCATTTACTTATTGAAAGCATCCCATAGTCTTAACCGTAACTTACAAACGACATGTCAAAACATAAAACATAGAGGTTGTAACTGAGGTTTCCTTTAGAAGTGATCGCGATTCAGAGAATAAACAAATGAATGAATGCCAAATGAATGTGCCACCTTCACATACTACATAACAAGAGATGGTACATTACTTTATGTGAAATTAAGATCTGATTATGACAAACATTATTTTTTTAAGTTTTAATATGTACAAAATCCTCATATTTGTCACAAAGCCAGTTACCTCCCTTGAATACAGTCTACTGGAACCGCGTGGCACAGAAGGGAGGATAAAATAAATGTTTATTTAGACTTACATCGGTCTAGGTAACTGAAATCACGAAATAGCCTCTGACATTTTCCTTTATCAGGAATAAAAGCAGAATTCTTGGAATAACCTTGCCTATACCAAAACCGAAAGTGCTATATTTCAATTGTGTCCCGAAGATATGTTTTAACTTAAAAGAACTAATAGTCAAATACGCATGTGTTACACAAACTTGACATGGAATCTCGCTTGCCGTTGTCACGTTTACTTCAACCTGTGTCCTATAGTTATGGTTTTATGACAAAGTAAACATATGTCGTAGTCTATCCGCCCTACTCACCTTACTCGGCTGGTTGGATGTCTCGCCACTGAAATGTGAACGTGTCACGTGACAACACAGCGAGGTATAATAATCGATGGCTTTTATCCGAAACTGCGAATGCATGTATGACGCTATTTTCTTATTTACTCCCTTCCTTAACATTTAATTTTGTTTTAGGTATTTCGGGGTTGTTGTTTTGTTTTTGTTTTGTTTTGTTGTTGGGTTGTGTTTGTTTGGGAGGGTTTTTTTTGTTGATTTTTTATTATTTTATTTTTATTTTTTGGGCGTAATCGTATTTGTATTCGTTATTGTATTTGGGTGTGGGGTGTATTTTTGCTGTTTTGCTTTTAAGGAGGGCATTTATCTTTCAAATGCATAATCCACCAACTAAGCCAGCCAAATACGTTTGGATCCTGGGATGAACATAACATGGTATAATTCGCGTAGAATTACTTCACGCGCCCGCTGACACATACTTTGGCGCTGTTCTGTTGCTCAAATAGATATTGTTTGTTTAATAAATGCATGAGTTTGGAAAAAGATGCTTTGTTTTAATGATAACATAACATAACATAACATAACTTAACAACATAACATAACGTAATGTAACGTAACGTAACGTAACGTTCCGTAACGTCACGTACCGTACCGTACCGTAACGTAACGTAACGTAACGTAACGTAACAACGTAACATAGCATAGCATAGCATAGCATAATCAGACATTTAAGACCTTTTGAAATATTCTGGTAATGAACTACTGGCAAACAAGGATAAGTTGAGCACCGACCTCACAATTGACCCGTATTAGCATGTATGAAAGCCGCCCACTGGCGCTTGCCATTGTTAGCGAAGGGACCCCAGGTTGTCCGCGATCAAGTGTAGTGCGATGAGTGAAGCGCGTGGCCTGTCTCAGCAAACTCTGAGTTCGACAGTGGCAGGTGCATTTGTTTGCATTTTACGTTAAGAAATCAATGGGAATTTATAATCTCTCATAACCATTCATGGTTGGCTCATAAGTTACAATGTTTTATACCTTTACAGAATCTGCTTTTAATATGAGGTGTGACCTGAAAAACATAACTGTCCATCTGTCTGCAACTGTGTGTGCGTAAGATACACGTGTACTTGCTGAAAATGAAACAAATTTATTTTCAAAAAGTGAATGAATCAGATTGTAATGAAGCAAAGTACAACATTCTTCTGCCTGGCATAAACATTACCCGGCCAGGCTTGAAATAACTGAAAGAAACGCCAAGGTGTCATAGACCTATGTAACAATCCCTTGATAATATCTTGTTAATGTTTCTTGTGTCTCCGTGCGCTGTAAACTTAATACTGGCAGCGGGAAGTAACAACACTCATCGTGCTACGCGCGGAATCAATTTCATCGTCATGTAATGCACGTGCATGTGCACTAGCCTACATCTGCTCTACCTTTCACAAACCAAATGGGATTGCTCCCACCTGTTTAACATCCTTCCTTGAAATATGTAAGAAGGTTAATCTTTGAATACATATACATCGCAGAATAGTGAATGATAAGTGATATCCAAACCGTATATATTATACAATTATTCAAGTGAGGTTAAACTAATGATTTCTGTTTGTTTTTGTGGGTTTTTTTAATGGCACGGGCTGTGACAATATGTAAAATAGATCCAACAGGTTTCGATAAATTCCACATAGACAATCATTTCAGAGACTTAGCAAGCAGTTAAAACAGATTGCATAGATCTGCAAGTTGTAGACATTCAATAAGTAGTATGTGAAACTCGCCAAGATTTTGTACCTGACCACGAGGCTGATAACGCATAAGGGGCAGTGGAGTAGCCTCTTTGTTAAAGCGTCCGCTCAAAACGCTGAAGACCCGGGTTTGATACCCCACATGGGTACAATGTGTGAAGCCCATTTCTGGTGTCCCCCCGCCTTGACATTGCTGGAATATTGCTAAAAGCGGGGTAAAACATACTCACTTACTCACTCACTCACTGAAAACAAACCATGTCCTATGAACACTGTCAAAAACTATCCTATAAAAAAGTTTATAACAGGCTGTTGTCACTAAGATGACATAATCCCACGCTGCAAATTATCAAATCAAACTTAAAAAGTGAGGGTCGCAGTTTAAATGTCAACAAAAACATGACCAGTCAACCTCTCTTGATATCTTGCTCTGTAGCTGTTCAATCACACAAATATTTTCAAGACTCAATTTGACCTTGACATGAATGTCATGGTGTATGAAATATGCCAAAAATAGTAATAAAGAAATTGCTTAGTAAAAAACATTCAACAGAGGTCTTGAAAGTCTATGAAGAAAATCCAGTGAACCGTTCTTGAGATATCTTGCTGACAATCTTAACATAATGAAATCTTCAAAGTGTCACCATGACCTTGAAAATTACTTAAAGGTCACCAAAATCGAGTGAACCCTGCGCCTTCCCTAGATAAAACATGGTGTCAAATATGAGGAAAATCCCGTGGACAGTTTTTGAGATATCTCGTTGATAAGCTTAACATGAAAATTAAAATGCTGAAATCTTCAAAGTGTTGCTCGCTGACAAGGGTAAATCGTAAAAAGTCCCCTTGTGATACTGGGCCCTGCGCATTCACAAGATGAAGTTTGGTGTCAAATTTGAGGAAAATCCAGTCAACGGTTCTTGAGATATCTTACTGACAAGCTTAACATGCAGGCTAACATGTTGAAATCTTTAAAGTGTTGCTGTGACCTTGAAACTTACGTGAAGGTCACCAAGATCAACTGGGCACTGTGCATTCCCTGGATGAAGCTTGGTGTCAAATATGAAGAAAATCCAGAAAACGGTTTTGTAAATCGTAAAAAGTCCCCTTGTGACCTTGAAATGAAGGTCAAGGTCACCAAAGCTGACTGGGACCTTTCTTATACTGTGATGAACCTAGGTACCAAGTATGAAAAGAACCTAGTTAATGGTTCTTAAGGTAATCCAATTCGTACGGACGGACGGGCAGACGGAGCCTAATACTATATCCCCCGCTTCGCGCTAAACGCGCGGCGGGGGATAACAAGAAAGCAGAAAAGGTATGTTTGACGAGCTTTATTTAAATGCACAACTTCCACAAGCTGGTAACCTTTCAATAACCGATAATCCCCTCTTTGTGTACACCAAAGGCTCCACTATCTCGTTGTGTAAATTGCAGGCTTCACTTCTTAACGCTTTTATCAAAAAACCATGGGTTGTTATTGTGTTTGGCTTCCTAATCCCTATTGTACTGTACAAACATCCCCTGTAACTTGTATATATGCTCCTCTATCCCAATTCTGTTCATCTTTTGCTTGATAAGGGTGTTAGAACTTACACCGAAACGTCGCTCTCACAACAATGAAGAAATGATTATCCTTCCTTGGTAACCTTTGACACACTGATCCCACATCAAGTTCACAAATAACATAAAGATTGTATCACGGGGGTAAAGGCTAGAGATATCAATAGTGAATTAACTGTTTGAAGGGAATTATTCAAATAACATTGTCATCTTCGAAATATACAATATGCAATTTCAGAATATACAAAATCCACAATTTGTTCAATTATCGAACACCTGTTTACTTGTCACAATGAACATATTACTTTTTTTAACTTAAAAATTATAGAAAAACCACAGTGTTTGTCACTTCTATGTATTACGAACATGGAAATTCTAAACATTCTAATCTCATAATGAAGGTAATGCGAAATATTACCAGAAAATAAAAATATCGTTGCAATTTGTCAGCACAGTTTCCCTATTCCCGATTAAGCCTAGTTGTTGATGACAAGTCATCCATCACTGTTTTTGAAGTGGAACAGTATACACATGTACTGTACACTGATTGACGAGCACTATGCATGCCAGTGTGTTGTCTCACATTTGCTCCATTATGAGTCTGGAAATAAGACCCGGGCCACGTTCTTCTTTAATTGATAGCTGACATTTACCAACTGTGATATTACTGAATACGGAAGAGCCTGAGAATCCACTTTTATTTGACTCTCTTGTTATTTCAATTTTATACCTGCATGTACTTTTTAAAGGCAATGCCTTTGACACCTTCAGTTCGACTTCATTGGGAAAATTTCTCACTAACACAAACGATGCTTCACTTCTGACCCAGGTTTTACTAGTACATGTAGTAGTGTAATTAGAATATACCCCCTGTCTCTCCTGTTCTTGATAAAGACAAGTGCTATATTTGCAGCTGCCATCACCATATGCCAAGAGACCAAGTAGACGCATGTCCTGACTGCATGTGATGATGAGTATGTTAGACTCCTTCTTACATTGATCCCTGTCAATTCGATCTGCATACAGAGTGACCCACGTGTCAAGTTCTGGCTTTATCTTGAAGGGTGCCACATCGGTACCAGGTAAAATCATGTGACACAACAACTTGGTACATTCGTCGCCCGATAATATTCCAGACGGTACAACTACTTTTGCAAAGACCTTCATTCCCATTGCGGTAAAATCAAGCTCGTACACGGTTTTTCCCAGAACAAGACGTTTGTTTTCTGGAGTTATCTCCCTTTCTTGGCGTTTACACTCTGTCTCAGCCCACAAGAGAGCAGCATTGAAACTTGTTTCATCCATTGTTAAAAATGTATCTGAACTTACAACTTTATGAAAACACGATGCACAAAGAGATGTGAAGCCAGGGCTACTGACAACGGTACCACAATGTTTGACAATAACCTCCAGAGCCCTGTCAAAGAGCTTCTCCTCATCAAACTTATGAGCTTCTTCCAAGATGACACAAGCGTTCTCTGCCGTTAGGGACGATTCCAGGTAAACCACACACAGACGCTCAAGACCCCCCACGGAGTACTTCTTGGCCAGGTACAACAGACCTGTCACATTCTCAGCAGTCAGGGTTGTCTTGTCTGTGTACAGGTACCTGTAAGTGATATATATTCATGGCAATTAGACCTTGTTGATTGTTGACCAAAGTTTGATTTTTAGTATGAACTGTATCCAGTCTGAATATTTTGATGCTACATGAACAAAGCCAGAGTTCCGCGTTTATCATGTGTCTGGACAGGAATCTAAATGTAACATATTTTTTGACATTAAAAGAATGTTTGACCTAAACTGATACCGATTACGTAAACATTTATCTTTTCTGCGCTACTCATCATCTAAATATGTCTTCATGACTGCCTCAGATTCGTAACAGAACTTAACGATACTGCTGGGGTGTTTTATCGATAGTACAGGGGCGCTGGGGTAGTCTAGTGATTAAAGACATCGCTCGTAATACCGAAGGTCCGGGTTCAATTCCCCACAATGTGTGAAGCCCATTTCTGGTGTCCCCCGTCGAGATATTGATGAAATATTGCTAAAAGCGGCGTAAAACCATACTAAATCGCTCATTATCAATAGTACTATGCCTTTTCACATTAACGGCAAGTACAAATTAATTATACTTGAAGTTTTTTATTGAAACGAAGTTGAATTGATTTTGGCTTAATTCACAATATTCTTTACTCAGAGCCCAAAGTATCATGAAATTATTATAAGCCTCATCTTTCTTTCTTTTTAAATAAAAGATATAATTTATTGAAAAGATGTATTGAAACTAAGGAGTGTTTAACAAATATGAAATCAATGTATTGTTTATACTGTTCGTGTAGCTTGTGCCATGTACGGATAAGTAACATACCTTCATGGTTTGTAAACTTAAAGTCTTCGAGACAATATATGTAACCCTTAAAGGTAGCTGGCACACGACCGGTGTTTGTTAACAGTGCAGTAAAACATCGTTCTGTCGGACTTACGGTTGTCTTGAAGTAAAAGCTTGGCCCCGTGTATTCAGAATTTATTCCTCATTTTGCGAACGTCGCTTCAACCTCCATGCATCGGTTTTGACTACTAGTATTAATACATGGAATGTCCTGCGAGGATTTGTATGGTTATTATACCTATACTTCTGGTGACCTTGTATTACACTAGAGATGGTGCTTATTGTTGTAAAAATACCCTTGCCACAAGCTGTTTGACACTTAACTCATAATTAGAACTCTAAAATCACCATGATTGTTAGGTGAGACCAGGAAAGAGCAAGTTTTGACTTTAAATAAAAAACATATAGCGTTATCCAGCCAGGCTTTTATATATGACAATGACAGCTAACAGTATCCTGCAGCTATGACCAATAATGTAACTAATACCAACCGCCACAGGTATATATACCTCAACATTTCAGAAAATACTTCCTCCTCCACATCGGGGATCTTGATGTCCTCCTTCTCCGCCAGGGGGCCACACAACATGGCGTAGAACACACAACTCCGACTGGACAGAACATATCGGTGAGCTCCGACCAGCGACCCTTCTTGCCCAACCCGGAAGCTGACGTCACAAGAATCCTCAGAGGTCAACATGTGGAGATTACACTCCGCCAAGGTCTTCCCACTTTGCCAGTTGTCAACAAATCCGGAGTTTTCTCCACTTACTTCCACAGAGGCCATTTCGTTCCTAAATGTTTTCTGTTGGGACGATATTAAAAAGCAGAATTTTACCGGAGTCAAACCGTTGCGTCCTTCTCGAATATAAACTGAGAATTGTTCCACGGAATTTATGCCCTAAAGACCGCATTTGCAAGATGAGTGTGTGAAAAACATCCATGTTCAAACTAAATGAATGCTTCATGTTCCCAAAAACATGTAAAATTCTTGGAAATGGGGTAAATAATTCCAATATTTGGACAGACTGGGACCGTTTTGTTGCTGCCTTAAACCAACTACGTATATTACAGGGGCCTTCGGGACACGACAATAGAGAAACCAATTTCAGAAGGCCTTCATCCATTCTTGAACAACACATGTGTATTCCCTTTTTAACTTAGACTATTGTTTAGTCTCTGAATGTATACAATTCCTTTAAATCGAAAAGTAGCCCGAGTGCGATGGGAGATTCAAAACCTGAAACTGATTAAATCCAGACTTGCTTCATTTAGGATTTTATCATTGCAGAAAGGGCTAGGCAGAAAGTTAATAATGCGGTTCAGGGACTGTAAGATAGTTTTTCGTACATTATCTCGAAGGTGTATATTTTTGCTTCAATTTTATACAAGGATTAACACAATTGATTTAATTATAACTGTTTCAAAACTCTATAGATCTGAGGGCTGAAATATCCGAACAGTCATAAATATCTCGCTACATTGTGCAGAATAATCGAATAATTGCCAAGAGTGTACTTCAACTTGAGTTCATGGTTCAGGCCAAAGTGACACGCATACATTGAATTTAGTTTTGTGACGCACTCAGCCATATTCCAGCTATATGGCGGCCCTCGCATACAGATACAGGTCAAGGTAATCGTAATCTGTCTCTGTAATTTCTCCCATAAAAGAAAAGAAAGGAGACTTCTTCGAAATTCCATATTGAAAATTGCATTCAACTGGAACTAGTTCAGGTGTCATCTTGGCGGGAACAAGCATGACTTTTATTCAGGTGATTTAAACACATGGACCTGATTGACTACCAAAGAATGAATAGTCTCTACTAACTTTACACTGTCAAAACAATGTATATTAGCTTTTCCCTTAAGATATCTGTGATGCAATGTTACATATTCGTTCACTTATTGAAACCTTCCCATAGTCATATACCTGTAACGTACAAACCACGTGTCAAGGTTGTAACTGAGGTTTCCTATATGTGTCACAAAGTATGCCAGTTATCTCCCTTGAATAGAATGTACTTCCGCGTCTCGCAGAAGAAGGGAGGCTCAATAACTGTACATTTAGACTTACATAGGTCCTGGTAATCGAATGTAGAATTGTTGGAATCGCCTTGCCTGTACCGAAACCGAACGTATGGTATTTCAAATGGGTCCCAAAGATATGTTTTAACTTAAAACAACTAATCGTCACATACACATATTTTACACAAACCTGACAAGGAATTTTGCAGTTGTCACGTTTACTTCAACCTGTGTCATATAGTTCTGATTTTACGTCAAAGTAAACATCTGTCGTAGTCTATCCGCCCTACTCACCTTACTCGGCTGGTTGGATGTCTCGCCACTGAAATGTGAACGTGTCACGTGACAGCGCTGCGGGTTATAACAATATCGGTGGTTTTCGTACGAAACAGTGCCTACTTAAAAGCAAGACGCTATTTTCCTATTTACCACCTCGCCTCACCCAGAGACCTCACCTATTCTCACAAAATGTGCTCTAACTGATAACTGGAACTGATAAAAAGTTCTTTTCTTCAAATGATAAGTCATTTTATTGTCAGAACATCATTTATTGCTCACAAAATTCAAACTCAAAAGTCAGATGTCAAGGAGAAAACGCACACTCCGGCACAGCGATGACTAACATAATATCACTGCCACAGGCTAATTTGCATATCACGTGACCGGACTTTTCTCTTGTTTGTAAACAAACGCGCATATATTCATAAGAAGAAGAGACTGGACTCACGAAAGCTTTTCGACGCTCTCTTCATATTGTTTTACATTGTTACATATATATTCTTCCACAACTGCGACTGTAAGGTCTATGACAGTACATAGTTAGATATCAAACTGGCTGCATCGTTTGCTCTCCATCAGCTTCGATGACTGCACGTGGAGCCGTACAACCTATGTTAACAAAGAATCGCTACGTAAATCGAAATAGTGTTACATGGTTTTGGATATTTTCTCAGTGAAACTAAACCATTCTATTAAAAATGTTTAGTTAGATGTGTAGACTCGTCTAAAATAAATGAGTAAAAGAAATCTGTACATTATATTGAATGGACATTGCAAGATGTGACGAATCGTCACAGTTTTCTGGCCGGTGGCAGAGGTACATACTATGCTGGCTTGCCGCATGGAACTCTGGGTAGGTGAGTGGGAGAAAACGATGACCGCCAATCATGATTGGGTAAACTAATTTGCATTAGTTGATCACCAAACTTACTATACAGTTTTTTTCAAACTAACTGGAAATATACTGGATCTGTATTATATTGTGATAAACAACAAAACCATTATACAACTTGAATACAAATCTTGTAATCTACGGTACCGTAACACAACCATATCTATATAGAACTTTAAAAAAAAATTACTGATGTTGTTATTCTATTACACAGACTTACATTAAAAGATACAAAAGTGATTAACTGTTTCTTCGTTTCATCAAGGAGACTATATAACGGGGAGTGGTCACTCCTCGAAAAGCCCCTTAGCGTATGCCTCAGCTCGTCACGTGACCAGTACGTGTGTAGCCAATATGGCGACAGCGTAGTTTTTCACCTATGTATTTCTTTCTCTTGTTCTTTTTCTTTATTTCTTCATTCATTCACATATTCATTCATTGTAAAATTCCGACTGATACAATAAACTGGCTGAAGTACTGTTAAACGCAGCCGAAGTTGCACTGGGAACGAACCAAGCCACTGTGTGCGTTGGAGCATGGCGAGGCACACGCTATTAGTACAATTTGTAAAGAAAGCGAGTTTCATATCCCTGTTGTAGACTATCCCTGGTTTCATTCATTATTTAAAGTACAGACAATACATAAGCACAGTGAAAATCCATCCTAACTGTAATCACGTTACCTTAGTCTGATGTAGAATATCAACAATGATAAGCCAATTAAAAGTAAATAATCATTTAATGTTTAGAAGAGTTCATACCATAACTACAGCTCCATAAAACTGTCTTACCTGAGTAGCCCAGGTGGTGTGTGATCATTTTTACTCCCGCATGACAGTCACTGGACAATCGTGCACATTTCACTCACGCTACTGAACAAAATGTCCGTCATGCCATGTGCTTTTGGCGCTTGGGTGACTGCGCCGATATTACTTCTGGAACCAGTGGACGGTCAGTGCCAAATGTACGTAACTATTGTGTGCAAACCGACAAAAAGATATGCTTCTTTGGAAATGATGTAACGTTGATTACACAGACGACCTTCAGCACCCACCAAACGTTTAAAGTGTCAAGGTAGAGCATCTCCTTCACTTAGTTATTACTACTGATTAGGTCCGTTCATTGTAAAACCCTTTTGGTGACACTCGATGTACAGTTTTCATCTTATGGTGGTCACGTAGATTACATCCTTTTAAAATCTCTATAACTTTAAACCTGTGAAGCATTATGGTGAGAAAGCGGCTGAAATTTGGTGGCTATGAGATTGATATTGTATTGTCCCAATATAAAACTGTAAATAAGGAATACTATCTAATGAATAATATACTTTCTATAATAATTAAATGGTCATTTTCATGGGGTAACGTAGAGTACACTTTTTTTGGAGACCATATTAAACATAAATTCTATTAAAATGAAACCATATGACGATATGTTCTGGGTGTGGACGAAAGGCGTAGAACACACAGCTCCGACTCATCACCCTGCTTTCCCAACCCGGAAGCTGACGTCACAAGAATCCTCAAAGGTCAACATATGAGGGTTGCACTCCGCCTAGGTCTTCCCACTATGCCAGTTGTCAACAAATCCGGAGTTGTCTCCCCCCTACTTCTACACAGTTCATTGTGTTCCTTAATGTGTTCTGTTGGGACTGAAAGGCAGGAATCAAAACATTGCGTCCTTCTCGAATTCTCGAATCGAACAGGGAATTCTTCTACAGAAATCTGTTGAGTGTGTTTTCACATAGCTGACAATTGTATTATGGTAAGAAAACACCCCATAATCAAAGTAAATGAATGGTTCATGTTCACAAATTCATGTTGTAAAATTCTTAGAAAGAGGTGGATCTCTCCAATATCTGAACAGTCATAAGCATCTCACTCCATAGTACGGAATAATCTGGTAATAGTCAAGAATTGTCCTTCACTTTGTTGAAGTTCATGGAAGTGTGAACCTAAATAGGAGTGAAGGCCAAAGTGCTAGAAAGACTGATCCAAATTCTTAGAGTCTTATGTCCAAAAGCCATGAAATCAAAAACACTACCTAAGGCCCGAACTATAATGTAAGATGGTTGAACTCGCTATGATCCGCTGATCGGGAGTTTGAACCCCCGATTTTGATGTTTTTTTTCAATTAACAAGCCTAGGTTGGATACATCAGTGAAGGGATAAGCAACGCCGTCAAACACAACCATGCGATAATTACACTATGAAACCCGATCCCTAGCTGGCTAGCTAGCTGCTTCCTTACAAAAACAACGAGAAGACAGGGTCATCAATATCCCCCACCACAGTGTTCTGTTCTTATTTGGTTCCTGATTTTTTAACTTCACCACGACATTCATGTCCAGAAAACACACACCACATTTGGTTTCCCTATCTATAACGGTTACAGAGACAATCTGTCCCCATTGGGGATAACGTGGACGAAGTCAAGAAACGTATGACAAGGGTCATAACTCTAAAGAATCGTAACACGTCTTCCGTTTTCGAACTCCATCAAGGCATTTGAGTCCTGATAATACATAACACATTTGGCTTCCCTATCTATAATGGAATTTCAGAAAAACTGTCCCCATTGGGGATACCGTGCACTAAGTCAAGAAACACATGACAAGGGCCATAACTCTGTTACAAATTGTAACACCGTTTCTGTTCTGAAACTTCATCAAGGCATTCATGTGTTGAAAACACAAACCAAATTTGGTTTCCCTATCTATAACGTTTTTTTGAGAAAATCTGTCCCTATCATCTCCGACGGGCTTCGTGAGGCAGGATAACAATGCCTCGGTTTTGGTGTGAGTGACTGAGTTTAGTTTTACGCCGTTTTAGCAATATTTCTGCGATATCACGGCGGGGGACACCATAAATGGGCCTCACACATTGTAACTATGTCGGGAATCAAACCCGGGTCTTTGGCGTGACAAGGAAACGTTTTAACCACTACCCTTAAATTATAAGTCTGAAAACGTTTTCTATTTGTTTAGGTTTTAATGTGTATAAAATCCTCAAAGTTATCGCAAAGTTTGCCAGTTATCTCCCTTGAATACACGGGCTACTGAGTACCATAGGCTCCCACTGCGGATCAGAAAATCGATAAACTAGGCCCCGGTTTAGTATCCACACACCCTACTATATAAGGTACATGTTATATAGTTGGAGATCAGTCTATCTGCCCTGTGCCCCAGGTGAAGAATCTTGGTGTTGTTTTCCGTTCTTCGATGTCACCAGAAACACAAGCCCTAGCAGCAGCAAGATCATCTCCGCCGAATACGAAAAATCCGCCGCTATTTGGACATTGACACAACCAAACTTTTATTGTCCATGGGCTGATATAAATGCATTGTGTCTAAGGGGGAAATCAGACTTGAATGCTGTTTTTCTACACGAAGCTGACAAAGGCACTGGTGACAACGAAGACTTCTGGATGTACAAAGTATTATCAATCTGAAAGGGTCCACTCTGTGCAATGTCCAGCTAGCCCTTCATGCATTTACAGGAGGTGATACCACCAGTGCCTTTGTCAGACGCGGCAAAGTTCTCCCCATTGAGCTTCTCGAATCTCACCCTGAATTTGTGAATGCTTTTTCCAAAGTTCTCCAGCACCCAGACTACAAAAAAACATCTCAAAGTCTTTTCATGCTTCAAGTATAGTTGTAACATTAATTTTGATCATTTTAGAGCTATTGAAACAAGAATACCTTCTTAAAACAATTGCCCACTAGAAAGTGTAGAAAAACAGCTATAAAGTTTAATTTTTCCCTTAGACGCCATGCATTTTTCCAAGTAAATGTCTTCCTGTACATATAACTTATCAATAAACCTTAAATATTTTTATAGTTCCTGATAGAAAGCAGTTATCAGAATGTATTTTGTGAAAAAAGCAAAAACTAATTTTCTCAAATTTTTCCCACCCTGACACTGCGGGAAAAATCCCCCGCACCCAGCCTGCAAACACCTGGAATTTGAATGTACATATGATAAGCTTTCAAAAAAATATAGTCTTCAAAATTCCCGGGGGGGGGGGCACCTATATCAGCCCATGGACTATTAGTTCAGTCATACGTCATCTCACGCCTAGACTACTGTAACTCCCTCGTGTCAGGAGCAGCAGCAATCCAACATCTCCAGCTTGTACAAAACAGAGCTGCCAGGATCATATCCAGGACACAATGTCAGGAACGCATCACCCCTGTGCTGAGGTCGTTGCACTGGCTCCTAGTAAAGAGGAGAATCAATTCACCAGCTTACATCAAAGACATCATCGAAAGCTATCGTCCAAATCGTGTCGTGAGGTCTAAGAAAAAGAGGCAGCCTGAAAATCCAAGCCACATAAACATCCATGGGAGACAGAGCTTTCAGTGCTGCTGCACCAGCTTTGTGGAACTCTCTGCCAGTTGAACTGAGATCAGTATCTTCCCTGGAAGCATTTAGGAGCCAACTAAAAAACTCATCTTTTTCTAGCTACCTAGGCGTAGGAACAGTTTAAAAGTTGGTGGGGCAAGATTTCGAAATTTATAACGGGGGGTGGGGTGTGGGGTGGAGAGAGGAGGTATATGAAGAGGACAGACGAGTTCACTTGCTTTGCAATTTCTCCACAAAGAGTGTCCCCGCCCTTGTCTGCAGCTTTAGAATACTTCACAAGAAGGTCTTTATAATTACTTATTCTCTTCATATTTGGTCTTAAATATCTGAAAAATACGAAATTGGAGTCACTGTGATTTTTGCTTTATAATAATCATATTTTGGGTGCTGACAAATAGAACCATAGGGTACCGAAAAACAATAGTTTTATAGTATAAATATATTATAATTACATTCAATAACAAGGCAGAAGTGAGCACAGCTCACATATCCCCGCTTATAGTCTGATCGCCTTCAATACCATTATTGAATACCAAAATAATATGTTAGGAAAACTTTCAATTTTGGCATCATGCAATTGAAAGCCAAAACCCACAATGGCACCATAAGGGTAAGTTCCATGCCAAATTTGAAGTTTGTAAGTGGTATAGTTTTTGAGTTATGCTCAGAGAAACCATTCCGGACGCACGGACACACGGGCGGACGGGCTGAGCGCTATATACCAGCGACTACGTCGTAGCGGGGGTATAATAATGCAGCCATTCTTATTTCATACAAGAATTCGGCTTTCAGATAAAACCAGCTCTCTCACTGCCAATGTATGAGTTTGAAATCGTGTCTTATTGTTATTGTTTAGATTTTCAATAAATAAATCAAACAGCACCTATTATACTTAAAATATGGCTATTACTGTAAACTTATGTTACTGTATAGACTACACTGTAATGTCAATGTATGTTGTCAATTTACCGCTGATTCGAATCCATATTGGCTGTTAATAACAGCCTGACTGCCTCTGCTTTCACTTTTGAGTGACATGAATTAAAAAATTTGGATTCTATCATTAGCGGAAATATTTTTTGTGATCATGTTATTTTTTCAACGTTACCAGAGGCTTGAATTTGTGTTTAATTCTCTATTATGGTCCCTGAAAAAATTTCCAGCTTATAAATATATATAGGGGGGGCGCAGCGCCCCCCATATATATTTTTTTTGGGGGGGGGAGCTGACCCCCCTATTTTTTCTGGGGGGCAGCTTTCTTTCTTTCTTCCCCCCTCTACACGCAGCCCAGACAGCGAATGGGACTATTATTATTAATATTATGCCTATGGTTCAGATATGTTACACAAACTTGACATGGAATCTCGCTTGCTGTTGTCACGTTTACTTCAACCTGTGTCATATAGTGATGGTTTTATGACAAAGTAAACATCTGTCGTAGTCTATCCGCCCTACTCACCTTACTCGGCTGGTTGGATGTCTCGCCACTGAAATGTGAACGTGTCACGTGACAACGCAGCACGGCCCTGTTCAATAAGGGTTGTTACCTCCCTTTGGTAAATTGTCTCGAAACTGCGAGTGCTTAAAGGCATGACGCTATGTTCCTGTTTAATACATTTTAAAATTTAAGTTTAATGTTCGATTGATTCTGGTTTTGTTTATTGTATCACTTTTATTTATTTTAAATAATTTATTTTATTATTATAATTTTTATTTTATTTTATTTTTTTATTATAACTTTTTAAATGGGGGTGGGGGTGTTCTTTTTTGAGTGTTTGGGGGTTTGCTTTTTATGTTTCTTTTGGTTTTTTCTGTATTATTTTTTTTTTTGTTGGGTGGTTGTTGGGTGGGTGGGGGTCTTTATTTTTGGGGGTGTGTTCTTGTATAGTTTCTGTTATTTTAAGGGTTGGAGGAAAGGGGGTTTTCATTGTTGCTCTTGCCCAAATATATATAATATAACCTGAGATATATATGCTGTATCATTTCTGACAATTTCACACATAATACCTGGAACTTGCCTTGAAGGCAAAGATGTCCATGTAGTTAACCTACTCCATACAGCAGAAAATGTACAGCCATCTCCACCCACATCCTACGAAGTCCTGCACATTCATGTCACATTGCATACTGTGGCTTCGTTGTTTAAAGTCACATTACATGTCTCTGGTCTCTACACAACTGAGTCAGGATCCAATAAAGAATTCGTAAGGTTACTAACCATCATAACTCTACACTTCACCACAGGCTTACCAATGGTGTAGCGCTAACAACACTTGTCCAGATCCATAAAGCATTTGTCAGGTTACTAACTATCGTAACTCTACACTTCACCATAGGCTTACCAATGGCGTAGCGCTAACAACACTTGTCCAGATCCACAAAGCATTTGTCAGGTTACTAACTATCGTAACTCTACACTTCACCATAGGCTTACCAATGGTGTAGCGCTAAGATCACTTGTCCAGATCCACAAAGCATTTGTCAGGTTACTAACTATCGTAACTCTACACTTCACCATAGGCTTACCAATGGTGTAGCGCTAACAACACTTGTCCAGATCCACAAAGCATTTGTCAGGTTACTAACTATCGTAACTCTACACTTCACCATAGGCTTACCAATGGTGTAGCGCTAAGATCACTTGTCCAGATCCACAAAGCATTTGTCAGGTTACTAACTATCGTAACTCTACACTTCACCACAGGCTTACCAATGGTGTAGCGCTAAGATCACTTGTCCAGATCCACAAAGCATTTGTCAGGTTACTAACTATCGTAACTCTACACTTCACCACTTAGGCTTACGAATGGTGTAGCACTATGAACGCTTTGTGGCTCGGGACCCTGGACCACACAGTCCAGTGATTGATATCATGAGCACTGATCACGACACCCGTGACAAGATGAGACTTACAACAAAACATAATAAATAAGAAAAAAGTAATTGAATATATTTATTATCCCTATTTATAATGTTCATGTGTAATAATGCACAAAACCGATCTTCATGAATACATATGAGACATACTTCATGCATTTTCAGATACCAAGTGCTACTGGGTATTCATTTTCCTGAAACTGCATTCTTGACATTTGATAGACTGAATCACTCAAACCTGAAAATCTGAAAACACATGTTTATCACCACTGTCATTATACAAAGTCATCAATAATTTTGTTTAGGACTCTGTGATATCTATGGAATGCCTGACGTGAGTCAATGGATGATGTCATCATACAATGGGTGATGTCATGGTTGGCAGGAAGTGGAAATAATAAAAAGTTTGTGCAAATAAATATTAATCATATTGATCAAATTTTATAATTCATTCATGCTGAATTTCTTTCGCTGTGTTTTTCATACCTTTGATTGTGATAAAAAGACAATCATTAGGGATATAAAAACATATTTCATATTTACAAAATATTTTGGAATCCAATCAGGTTGCAGCATACGCTGTAATACATTTGTAGTATCTTATAAAGATAGAGTAAACTGATGACAATGATGATGGTGGTCTGTAAATAATTGAGACTGGTCCAGACAATCCGGTGATCAACAGCATGAGCAGTGTGTCAACCAAGCCAGAGACCATCCGATCCCCGTTAGTCGCCTCTTACAACAAGCATGTATTGCTGCAATACATATACCTAAATGCAACAAAAGCCTCACACACTCTGTGAATGACCACACCTATCCAAGTTTGTGCCAAACAGTTGACTTACTTGACAAAACATGTCTCCTGACATTTTCAGTATTATTCACCATTAATACAAGACTTGTATGAACATGATTAGTGAAGCTGACAATGCTCACCTAAATTAGTGAGTGAGTATGGTTTTGCGCCGCTTTTAGCAATATTCCAGCAATACCATGGAGAGGGACACTGGAAATGGGCTTCACACATTGTACCCATGTGGGTAATCAAACCTGGGTCTTCAGCATGATGAGCAAACACCTTAACCAATAGGCTACAATACCGCCCCTACCATACCGACTCTGAAGAAGTCCCAGAGTGCCCCCACACCCACCTTGGACCTGTCCTTCAGCCTAGTTGTATCAAGACGTGTTACAGAATAACTGACAGTGCCAACCATCAACACCTTGCTACTGGTTCCAACCAAAGTCTTGTCCTGCAAGTCTCTGGCACTATTCTGTTAGCAAGGAGAATATGAGCCAACCATCATGCTCATCTCACTGCTCTCAGCCCGAATGAAAGGAATCCTCAAGATGAGAGGAAATCATCTTAATTTAAAGGGAGACTAAGCTCAGGTAAATTAGCAGTCCCAGCAATTTTGATTCAAGCCATTACAAACTGCCTCATCTGGTTTCTATTTCAAATTGTATTAAATTAAGTTATATTACAAGCTTACATTCACCCAATTAAACCGAAACAAAGTCTCTGGTTCACTTAACACACTAATGTTTTACATAGGCTAGACTTGGAACAACATGTCTATCTTAAAAATAATTGCAACTAGGTCTCATTACTCGGGTGAGTGTTGAAATGAGTCAATTTCCTGTGTTAATACATTCACTGGTCTGGTGTACAATCTAACATGAATTCATTCAAATGTTGTCAATTCGTCATGATTCATGGATTTAGTTAGGGTTCCAAACTGAGTGCCGGTGGCAGGCAAATTCAGAAAAAAATTTATTTTGTACAAACTTAGCAGTTTGTTAATATTCGGAGGCATGATTTCATTGACTGTTATTATTCCATCCTATGAAATGTTGATGAATTTTGTAAATGGACATCTATGGCAGTGTTGAAGTTAATCCACTAGGCAGGTTGCGATAAATTCCTGTCATTATTACCAATAACTTACTCTGCTACTGGTTTATGAGAAAACATGTGACCCTCAAGTTCCCCTGCCTTGAGAAAGTCAGCTTGACATATCCCACATTTGAACGGTTTCTCCTTTAGGTGAGTTCGTATATGTTTCTTCAGGTTACAATTGAGGGCAAAGGTCTTCTCACACATCTCGCACTGGTAAGGTCTCTCACCAGAGTGCACCCTGACATGTTTGTGAAGTGAACTGCTCACAGAGAAGCTCTTCTCACAGGTGTTACACTTAAAAGGACGTTCACCTGTGTGTACTCGCATATGTTTTTTCACATCACCCATGCGGGCAAAGGACTTCTCACAAAGGCTGCATTTATGAGGCTTGGTGCCAGTGTGGGTGCTCATATGCTGCTTAAGATTGTCGAACTGGGCAAACGTCCTATCACAGATGTCACATTGAAAAGGCTTATACCCCGTATGTGTGACCATATGTCTTTGTACATGGCAAGACTCAGAAAAGCTCTTCTCACAGATTACACACTTGTATGGTCGTTCTTTTGTGTGAGTCCTTACATGGCGCCTCAGTTCCACGGCATAGGGAAATGCTTTGTCACACAACTCACACTTAAAGGGCTTCTCCCCTGAATGGATTTTCTCATGACGTTTCAGATTACCAACCTTGGCAAAAGAGCTCCCACAGAGTTTGCATACATGTGGCCTCTGCCCTGTGTGGCTGTGCATGTGGTCTTGCAATGGACTAGCAGCACAAAACTCCATTTCACAGATTCCACACGTCCATGGCGTTTTTGCATGCATTTTGGGGTCACGTTTTTTAAGGTTTTTGTCTTTAGTAAAACCATTCCCACAAGGGAAACATTCAAGTATGTCTTTTGATGCTGAATTCTTTTTTACAGACTCTGCAGTCGTTCCTATGGTGACAAGTTCATTAACTTGTTCAGAGGTTGTTGTCAGGTATGTCATTTGGATTTCGAATAATATCAGTATACACTGACCTGCACTTGTACATAGACACTATTTAAGCATCAGAAAACAATTACGCTCTGCAGGGCCAGGGCCAATGTCAATATCTCCTTGAATCCGTATTATTTAGAACTAGTATTTCCCAATGTTCTTGAGTTCGGACAACTGGAATCCTTCTTGACTTGTCACTGGGTGGCGATTTGAACACATGGTGGGTCATGCATTCATCTGACATCAATTCTTCTCTGTAAGTCACATCTTCTTTAGGCTGCAAGTGAAGAGATATTTCCAATAATTACCATTTTAACACAACACAAAATGTTGATGTCAGTACAGAAGAGTTCCCACAATTACTTTGTAGTGAGAGAGTGAGTTTGGTTTTACGCCACTTTTAGCAATATTCCAGCAATATCACTGCGGGAGACACCAAAATGGGCTTCACAAAATGTAATCATGTGGGGAATCGAACCCAGGTCTTCTGCGTGATGAGCTAACGCTTTAACTAGTTTGTTTAACCACTAGGCTACCCAACAGTCCTAATTACTCTGAAAACATAAAATAAAAAATATAATGTTTAACACTGAAACCAGGTATGCCCTGAATGTTGTGTAAAACTTAGTCATTCTAGCTTGCAAAATAATATGACAATACTTGGCAAATTTCCTTGATGTGATTAAAATTCCAATTTGCAAGTAATATGGTGCGTCATTTGCATGACTATGATTATCATGAGCTATATAATTCATCAAGAACACTTAACATCACTCATTAATAACATAACAAAGACCGTAGGCCGGTAAGCTCATACTTACTTCTAACAGGCCGAGATGATACAATCATTTACACATGGAAGTACGACTGTGCAAACAGACATGGCCTAATTATCTCCCTTGAAAGTTGACTATTCATCTAGTGATCTAGCATTACATTTAAATCCGTGCAGTGCTTCCATCGTTTAGAGTTTACCAAGATTTTTGGAGCAGCACAAGCCTTGTTTCAAAACCTAGAAGGGTATGAAGGCACACAATGAAATGACTGAAACTATCCGACTACCAATCCAAGCCCAAGGCTCTTGTTTCGGCTCGAGCGACCGACATACCGCCAAATCGTACTTAACGTTCTACACCAAAGAATCGTCTCTTGCATTCCATTGTGGAGCCGTAGAACTATATTTCCAGTCAATTAGCTTATTTCCAAACTCACGTGGATCCATATGTTGCCGTAGCATCAACATGAGAAAATATTCGGCTTGTTTTGTTCTCGCTGATAACACCTGGTTCAATTGAAAATAGGGAATTGCAAACGAAATACAATTTGTGACTTGCAACCAGATGCAAGAATACACACACATCACAAAACGTACTGTCGTCGCATTTCTCATAACATTTCAAAGCATGAATCGTGGTATATTTACTGCGTGTAAGCTCAAGGTACGTATATACAATAACGGACACGTTATTAAAAAAATTAACCCCCTCGCCAAAATGATCATTTACGATGCAAAGAGAATCCCAAGATGATCCAAGATCAGGAAGACTTTTCACTTCAACAGATATGTATCGAATTGTAGGGGCTTTTGGCAAGTATCGTTTCATAGTTTCATTTCTGAAGTTTCATCATCACACCCATTGTTCCCATGTCTGTTATAGCACAGGAGTTCTCTCGCTCGGGGAAGTAATCTGATTGGACGTCGTCTACGTCTTACCTCCACGCCGTGGAAACGGGTTCAGAACGAAGTAATGATGACGAATGAGTCCAGGGTATTGATCAAAACAGAATGGAGGCATAACACCCTGGATAAACGAGAATGATACTGTCTAAATGTTTTAACCCATGAAGATACTCTTCAGCCCATGTTGTCGTAAGAGACAACTATAACGGGATCGGGAGGTCAGGCTCCCGGGTTGATTGACATAATATGTCATTGTATCGATCCCAATTTGCAAAATCAAACCATTAACATTACACTTTTCACGAGCATTTTGGCTATACATATGTCATAATCTTTTACATCGATTCCTGTTCCAGTTTAGTAACAAACATGCTCAATAGAGTGAGTGAGTTTAGTTTTACGCCGCTTTTAGCAATACTCCAGCAATATCGCGGAGGGGGACAACGAAAATGGGCTTCACACATTCTACCCATGTGGGGAATCGAACCCAGGTCTTCGGCGTGACGAGCGAACTCTTTAACCACTAGAATACAATACCGCCCCTCTCACCTAAATTAAGAAGATGTGAACAGACCTCCCTTCAAATAAATGAACCAAGATTTGGCATGCCTAAGGGATGCAACTCTGCATAGCATAGCAAAATACAGAGAACAGGATCGCCCAGTGGTCACTTAATTTAGACAAAAAGTCATGGCTAAGTAAAAAATAATTTGTCTACTCCACATGTTATTTTTCTGCTCAATTAGGCTACCTCACCGCTACCGCCCCTGCTCGGTAGGGACAGTGACCATCCGATCCACGCAGATCAGGGCTCCTGTAATGATGATACCCTCCTATACAAGGAAGTCGCCATTGTCCTTATATGGTATAAAGTTCATCGTTCCCTTTATACTATGTCGTGACGAATAAATCGACCACGCCCACGCGTTGTGGCTTCATTGCTCAACACAACGCTCCATTGTCTTTGACTGCTGTTAGCTGATATCTGCTCTGTGTAATACACGTGCAAAGAATCAATACTAGAATCTTTTTTATAGCCATGCGCCCACGCTATGGTTAGGAGTCGCATTTAAGAAACGTTGAATGTGCAATAGCATTGTGAGGGTTGTTGTATCTATGTAATATGTAATCTTTAGTTTGTTTGTTTGTTTGTTTGTTTGTTGTGTAGCGCCGCACTCAACGATGCAATGACGTGTCAACCAAGTCAGCGAGCCTGACAACCCGATCCCGTTAGTCGCCTCTTTCGATGTTATCTTAAGTGTTTATATACAACGAAGGCACGTCATCGTTTTAGCAATGACACTATCTCTTATAGCTACCAACAGTCCTACAGAGCATGAATTCTTGTGTGTACCATTTGGGGTGTTCCTAATCGTAATATTGTTGGAAACTTGCCAATAGTGACCTAAATCCACACTCACTCACTCACTCTATTAGTCGATATCATCCCCATCCTCGATAATCTCCAGGGTATACGTTACGATCACTCACCCTCGATAATCGTTTTGATCGGAAAGTATACCCTGAAGATTATCCAGGATATATCATCCCCAGCGTTCATGTTTTAGAGACTGTTCATAATTAATGGCTAGGGTGTGTGTGTGCGTGCGTGCGTGCGCGTGTGCGTGCTGATAATTTGTATGGAGAAGCATGTACAATGCGAATGAACACACCTCCTTCTCTAATCATATGTAGGGCTCAGACGGGTCCAAATTTTCTACCTGGGTACCCTAAACCCTATTACCACACCCTACCCGGATACCCGTTATTTTAATTCCTGACATCAAATTTATAAGAAATGGCAATATATTCTTCAGCTCGGAGGCTAAAACCTCAAGTTTTTCAATATATTACCCATGCCATTATACTCAAAAGAAGGGACTGTAAATTATGTCTAAATCTGAAAAGATAAAACAATCTTTTAATCATGAAAGAATAATATATTACATTCTTTAATCTGTTAGTCACATGATCATAACGTGTCAGGGTATTGAGACGGGTACCTGGGTCCAACTCATTACCCACCCGTCCCGGGTATCCGGGTTACCCGTCCGAGCCCTTATCATATGGACGGTTTCTTATAACTGATGAAAGTACATGTTTGCATATTAAAAAATACAATGTCTGGTGCTAACAATCGGTTGTTATACGCATTGATATAAGCAAATATAAATTTCATCCTAGACACTAAATTAGGGAATAGAAAAAGCGACCCGAAAAGGATTATCGGAAATATCATAGTTCGTAAAAGAAGTATTCCAACATTTCATAGAAGGGGGAGGTCACTCCAAATTACCACGTGTTTGTCTCAAAACATCAACATGCTTTGAAAAGCTTGACGGAAGCTCAGTGTTTGTGGCAATCGGATAGCAACTGTAACTTGGTGGCAAATTCAAATTTAGTAAAAAGGTATCACACATTAAAAATGTATTTCATTTTTTCATATACCATCGAAGAACAGACGTCATAAGTTCTGACTATATAAAAAGAAACAGGATCCGTCAGAAATTGGTTAGATATGGAACAAGAAGATATATCGGGTGGGGTACAACGCGGCACATCGGTTATGGACATTTGGGTTTGATTTACCCGTATAAATGAGATAATACAAGGTTGTAGTCAAGCATATTGTACATGCCATCCCACTCGGAAGCTGTCACCGTTTCAGACCATTGACGTTGGTCGAGTTTCTGTAGATTGCAACCATTCAATGACTAAGATCAATAAACGAATTAAAGTATTCAATTAACACGGGAAGTAAACAGATTGTCAAGTAATTAGAAATCCACACAGTGGCTTTCACTGTTAAAATATATCTGATCCGCAGATTTAATAGATAATGATATATTTATGCAAACTGCATGACTTCAACACCAACAGTGCATCAAGAAAATAGATGTTTGTTTACAAGTGTGGCAGTAACCAAATTAGTTAGAGCATCTTTAGAATTCTGCACAACATTCTGTTGTATGCGACATCTGTTAGGCAAATAAGAAATCAAAACAAATACAATTTAAAAAAAACATGATGAAAAAAAACTTATGCCAAACATTTTTTCAGGATAGTGGAATAAAATGAAAAACACCAAATGCATGGTTAAAGAAGTACTAGCGACATTTAGTATGTGTTTATAAAAAAATGAAAACATTGGTGATCTTATTCAATAAAATAGCAGGTTGCTCTTACAGATAACTGTGAATGGTTAATGTACTCTACTGTCCCCAAGTGTCCTTTTTGATAGTCTGACATCACAAAGCAATGTTTCACCTATATATCTTGCAAATATGCTTAACAGCATTTCTAAAATGTTTTCATTGATCCTATAGTTGCCACAACAACCTGCAGTCCAAACGTTCCCATAATGACTGATGCTGATTATTACCAGTAAAATACTTTTCTTGTTCAAGAGGAGATGGAGAAAGAGTGCTACTGCGAGAAGGTGGAGGTTGGGCGGAAGCCCTACATGCTCATATGTGGTGAATGTAAAAAACACTTCCATGCAGGTAGGTCTCATCACAATGTGCATCATGATGAAGTCGTCATCATCATCATCATCATCATCATCATCATCATCATCATCATCATCAGGATGTAGGAATATTTGTTATGAACAGGTCCTATAGCCTAATGGGGTTGTAAGAGAAAGAGGTGGCTAAATGGATCAAATCATCAGCCTCCGTGTCTTGCTGTCATTGTGATATTAGCCACCTCTCATCCTCATTCCAGATACCGCTGTAATATATAATACAAAAAGCAAACAAACTTGTCATCATAATTAATTGTACTTTATTGAAAGAGATATTACTGCAACTAAACACTGATATTGTATATCTACTTTTATTGTTTATCATAAAAATTAACATAGCAGCTCATTTTCATTTAACTCAAGGTACATACATCTTCCTTTTCCCATCAACGAAAGGATTATGACCTGTTTCAGCATGTTTGGAAACGGGCAAACTTTCACCACTAGATGGCGACATATTCTATCACTTCAAGTGCCGATGTTGCGGAGACGAGGGGAAGGAAGAATTTGAAAGGATGAAGATGCAGTGGTAGTAGATTGATGTAGTCCATATAGTAGAATGTGATATTACTTGAACATTACTAACAGCAGTGTAAAATCCAACTCACTCACTCGAGGACATGTGAAGATCCAGGGTAGACTAGGTTTTCAGCAACCCATGCTTGCCACAAAAGGCGACTAAGCTTGTCGTAAGAGCCGACTAACGGGATCGGGTGGTCAGGCCCACTGACTTGGTTGACACATGTCATCAGTTCCCAATTGCGCAGATCGATGCTCATGTTGTTGATCACTGGATTGTCTGGTCCCGATTATTTACAGACCGCCGCCATATAGCTGGAATATTACTGAGTGTGGCGTAAAACTAAACTCACTCACTCACTCACTCGAGCTATGTATGTGTTTTTTCAACCAGATGAATAAGTAGTGATGAAATTATAATTTGCTGATTGGAAACCAACTGTCTATTGGTGTTAAAAAAAATGTGATTACATGCTTCAATATAATCTAATATACTCGGTACTGAGATCAAGACTCTTTGCAGACACATCAGTGTCCCCCTTGTAATTTTGCACGATTTGTAATGATGAACACATAATAATGATATTCACAAGTGTGATATGTACTTGAAGAAAGTATTCCAGGAACACAGGATACGAAAGTGTGAACATTTAATCTGCTTCTTTTTACAATCAACAAATCAACAGACAATGATATATATGTATCCACACTGTCCTTCTTGCATGCTTTCAGAAAAAATAATTGATCCCATGTCACACAATTGAATCGCAATCTCTTACAATATATATTAGCATGCACAGCACAGAATGTAAAGAATTCAAAGACCATTGTGCATCATTAGAAACCTGGGCCCTTATTCTCGAAACGTTCGTAGCCCTAAGAATTCGTAACTTCGATCGTAGCCAATGTGTTAAGAATGGGCTTAAGAAGTTCGTAGGGCTACGGACGTTTCGAGAATAGCTAGCCAGAAGTTATATCTTGTGTAATGCAAATGGAGATAACTCCGTATTTGTTTATTGTGTAGACCACTAGAAAATATTGCCCCAAATTTAACTTGTCAGACTCAATCATGAAAATATTGTTTATTACATGCTCTATAAGGCCAAAAGAAAATATATGTCCGTTTCCTATTACATGCTTTTGAAAAATAGGGTAGGTGGGTCGGTTTTATCTCTTTTTTTTTAACTTTTTTTTTTTTTTTTAGTAGCACCAGGTGGGCACCTGAGGTCTACAAGAGTACCATATCATTTAGTGACAATGCTTTGTGATGAAACATTGAAAGATTTCTATATCAAATCATTATTTATGTTATTTATTTGTAGATTTGGTCAGTGGGGACCTATTATGCCAATTCAATGCAATCCATTTTAGCCATACGTACACTGAGAAACATGAAAATATCATACTCAATTTGGATGAAAATGATGAGTTGAAATGCACTCCAGTCATGATATTGACTTGGTTAAAAAAAGATTTATGGTCGGGGGGTTACGATAGGGTCGGTCGGGTTACTGGAAACGGACAATTTTGTTTGTTGGCCTAATACCTTCCTAATCATTAAATGCTTTTTTAATGGTGTGCTCAGTTATGGTATATGAGTGTTGAAGGCACAGTAGGGCAGTCTAGTAGGGAAAATGTTCACTAATTCGAAAGGCCTGTTTTCGATTTTCCTCATTGTGGGCATATTTAAATGTGTGAAGCCCAGTTCTTGCATCATCCACTGTGAAATTGAAAGAATATTGTTGAAAACAGTGCAATAACAGAGATATTTGCCCAGAAGGTGTTTGATGAAAGTAATATTTATTTGTAGGCTGCAAGTGGTCATGCTAACTCTCTATAATCTCCAGCTCAGTGGAAATGGTAAATGTGGGTATTTCCGCTGGAAGGAACATATATGTGCATTCATAGACAAGCACTGGTCCCTGTTGTTTGCCTCACACAGGTAAGAAGAAGATTGTTTTGGTTCTAATTTACAATTTTCCAACCTAACCAGAACTAATGTGTGCTCTGGACCACCTTAACCAGTAAACGAAAAGAATTAAAGGCTGACCTTTCTAAAAACAACAGATCACTCCCTGCATCATAGATTGAGGAAAAAACAGTTGGTTTCTGTTTTTTTCTGATTTTGTGAGATTTATTAATAAACGGCCCATTTAAAATTCTTTCAAAGGTCTAAAAAAAGTACAATGAAAGAAAATCTTTTTATCTCCCTCGTTTAGATTCTACGTTAGAATTAGTTTAATGCAAGCAATGCTTGTCAGAAGAGGTGGCAAAATGAATCAGGTCAGCCACAGTTATTTGGCTGATTGTGTCCTTAAAAATAAGAATTAGCACATATTGACCTACTTTTAGATCTCCATTTGTTAAAGGTAAACATTGTATCTCCAGGCTATGTATGCATGTATCAAGTTCCTTGATTCAGTTACCTGTATACCCATGAAGATTCAAGTTAGAATTGGTCTTCAGCTACCCATGCTTGTTATAAAAGGCGACCGCGGGGCGGTGGGGTAGCCTAGCGGTTAAAGCGTTGGCTCGTAATGCCGAAGACCCGGGTTCAAATCCCCACATGGGTACAATGTGTGAAGCCTATTTCTGGTGTCCCCCGCCGTGATGTTGCTGGAATATTGATAAAAGCGGCTTAAGTCCAAACTCAGTCAGTCAGTCAGTATAAAAGGCGACCACAGGATTTGGGTGGTCAGGCTGGCTGACTTGATTGACTGCTGCCATATAGCTGGAAAGTTGCTGGAATGTTGCTGAGTGCAGTGTCAAACAACAAACAACAGTTACCTGTAATGATGTCAACTCTCCTGACAGGAAGAAGACATCTCTGTGGCACGGGACGGTGGCCCGGCACTCTGTCCACAGGGTGCCCAGGCTACTTCACATCGGGGGCCAACGTCCTTGGGGAGGCTGGCTGGTGGAAACTGACAGACATGAAACCTCCCATGCTTAAAGTCGGTCAGTCATGTTTGATCTATAAGAGAGTCTTTGACATTTCTGTGGCTGTCCTTATCAATGGAACAATGCTAAAGTCTTGATCATTATGCTCTTGATTGGTCTTTATTGATAATATAACATAATAATACTTTATTGCCTTTTCAGGAAGATGTGTTACATCAACAGAGCTACTGAGATGTCAGAGAGAAACAAATACATAACATATTTACATAAATGAATACATGAATTTAAGTTTTCTCACATTTGTTTTAGGGACCATTCGTAATTTATGGCTAGGGGGTGATGATGATTTTAAGGGGAGGGGGGAGGTTGTCACCCATTTGGTTCTGGGGAGGTACATGATATCATAACATGGGGGGTCACTTACTTTGTACATGAATTTTAGGGGGGTCAGTCATATTGTACATGCTTCTCCATAAAAATCATCATCAACACACCCCCACACCCCCCCCCCAAGCCATAAATCATGAACAGTCCCTAAAAGATATATGGTACTTGGAATAAAGGATGTACAGGCTCTCTTAGTTTTCACAATTGGAACTTTGTAGCGACGGCCTGAAGGGAGGACTTTAGTTTCATCATGTTGAAAGAATAGTAATGCCCTTGACTTCATCTTTAATGCTTTTGCTTTTGCTTTTACTGTTCTCAATATGGTAATGCTCTAATTGTAGCATCATTGACCAGGGTGAACAGTCCAAGGTTGATGCTTATGTTGATGTAAACACATTTAGTGCTCTGTTAGATTTGTCTCCTTTGGTTTGAGCATGTTGAGAAGAAAAATTATTTTTATCCCCCGCAACGCGTTTTGCGGGGGGTGTTAAAATGGACTCCGTCCGTGCATGCGTCCGTGCGTGCGTCTTTTCCGGAGCAGAATTCTAAAACCGTACTTCACCAAACTTGGCACATACATGGATCTGGTAGTGTACTGGTGCCTTTTGGTAGTTTTGGAATTCTGAATAAAATATTTTTGGCGTTTCCATGGCAACAAGTTCGACTTAGACTGAAATTAGTGGTAGTGCCTTTTCCGGAGCAGAACTCTAAAACCGTTCAATGTTTCTTCACCAAACTTGGCACATACATAGATCTGGTGGTGTACTGGTGCCTTTTGTTAGTTTTGGATTTCTGAATAAAATATTTTTGGCGTTTCCATGGCAACAAGTTCGACTTAGACTGAAGTTGGTGGTTGTGCTCTTTTCCGGAGCTGAACTCTAAAACCGTTCACTATTTCTTCACCAAACTTGGCACATAGATTGGTCTGGTGGTGTACTGGTGCCTTTTGGTAGTTTTGGATTTCTGAATAAAATATTTTTGGCATTTCCATGGTAACCGGTTTGACTTAGACTGAAATTGGTGATAGTGCTCCTTTCTGGAGCAGAACTTTAAAAACCTTTCAATACTCTCCTTCCACTTTTCTATTTACACACCTAAATATTTGACATAATCATAACTCGTAGACATAATCATTAAGAGTATTTTGCCATTGCGGGGGATATTGATGACTTTGTCTTCTTGTTGACTTAGCCATGAGTTTTTGTCTGAATTAATTGACCAGTGAGGGATCCTGTTCTCTGAGCCACAGGATTTCACTATGCAGAGTTGCATCCCTAAGGCATGCATAATCTTGGTTCATGTATTTGAGAGGCGTTGGGGTAGCCTAGTGGTTAAAACGTTGGCTCGTCACACCGAAGGCCTGGGTTCGATTACCCACATGGGTACAATGTGTGAAGCACTTTTCTGGTGTCCCCCACCGTGATATTGCTGGAATATTGCTAAAAGCAGCGTAAAACCATACTCACTCACTCTCTCATTCATCTATTTGATTCCCCAGTTTCACTCTGATTATGTTCGAAGGTTTGCCAGTACCATATGTGTGTTTTCCAATGACCTGCATTATTTTGACTTCCCTCCAATATTTAACGGATCTTTTGTATTGCTGTTTTAAGTCATGTTAAGTCAAACTCACACGCTCTAAACTAATACTTTGAATAGTGGGTATGGTTAGGAAAAAGTCGCAACAAAGGACTTCATAGTTTTGGTGAATTCTTGACTAATGTTTGAACGATTTCTTATCTCCAGACACAGGTCTTCGTCCAGCTCGTAAGAAGCATGATCAGACGTCAACTATTGACCCTGCAGCAGTAATCAAGGTAGAGGGCCTGCGGTCAAGGCATGGCAAGTCCTCCATTCAGGCGGCCATGGAACTCAAGGTCAAGAGGTCAACCTTGACAGTAGGTTTACCTCGAATAAGAAATATGGGGGAGAAAGTTTTTTTCAGCTTTGTAGATGTTTCTTAGTATTTGATGACCAAGAAGATAAATTTCTCAGCCATATGGTTCCAAATCATACAATTGCAACAAGGAATTTCAGCATGTATATTGACCACAGTATTTTCCCATGAAACAGCAGTAATGTCATCATGTCCTCATGATTGAAGAAGTATCAAAATTAAAAAACAATTATGAGATCATGTGCTTCCGTGAAAACAATCAACATTGTGCTAAGTGGATTTTTTGAAGAAAAACAACCATAAGTTTACGTAAAAGAATTCACGTTGCTGCAAAATGCAAATTCTGTGTTTGGATCAATATCCACCAATGTTTTTCAAGTCATTGCAAATATGCTGTCAACTCACTCCATCCTTCTGACATGTCTGTTAAACTGTAATATTTTGCCATTGAAAAACCATAGATCTATGAAACCAACATTTTCCAAACAGGAAGCCAAAGAGATTCGTAAAGCCAAAGCCAGCTGCAAGACACCTGAGTCGACACCGCCCAATCCATCTTCATCAGGCTCATCCAGTTCTACCTCACATCAAGCATCTGTGTCACCAGCTGCTACACCTCCTCTCCCAGACGTGGAGACCTTCGGACTCTTCCAACATGACGATACTCAGAAGACTAAAATGTGTGACATAGTGAAAAACACAACAGCATCAGATGTAGGATTAAAACGATCCAAAAAGTCATCAGACTGTCATGTTAAGCAGGAATCTGCGGACACCAGTTACACAACTACTGAGAATGTTTCCATGGTTAATGTGAAAGAAGAACCTCCAGATTCTGAGAGCAGCATGGCGTCTGCTTCTTTCCAGTCCGCTTTCAGTTGGTCCATCAAGGCTGAGCCAGATGAGGACAGTCAGTTTTCTCGCTCCAGCAGTCACATGTGGTTCACAGATAAGGATACCAAGGCTCCAGGTTAATATACAGAGAGGGCTCAGTGTTAGTTAATCTGTATTTGCCAAGACTTTGGTATAGGGTTGATATTTCCAGCACTTGTGATGAATCCTCTTAATAATTTGCACAGTACTGTTTCCGTTTTTAGAAATAAATGCATCAAACTAATATCAGAAACCTGTTGAAATCGTACGTATACTGGGCAAAAATAGTTAGGGATATATGTAAATTTTGAAATTATGAATAATGATCTCTATATTCATTGACACATTGATAAAATATCAATCATAAAAATACCAATATCCCTAACTTAGTTTCTCCAGTATATATAGCATGCATAGTGCTACATTTTTTCCGTTGCCATGTGAACCTGAATAAAGCACCTGTTAGTACAGCAGCCACACATGCATATGTGTAGTATGTGCCACATGTGTGCGCACTCAGCTCTTTTGCTAAACAAATTTTGCTAGGTTCAACCTTGTTTCACTTCACATTTGATTTGATTTGATGTTCGATATTTTCAGACACTATGCCAGAGCTGTTTCTGAATGACGACTCTGACAGTGACTTTGAGATCGACCCAGGAACAATGTCCCCTCCGAGTGGGATGTGGTCGACCAGTTTTAGAGCCTCTCCGTCTGTACAAGATATCCTGTCTTCCATAGATGGTAAGTTATGTACAAGTGTTAGAGCCCCTCCCCCTGAACAAGATAACATGTCTTCCGTAGATGGTAAGTTATGTACAAGTGTTAGAGCCCCTCCCCCTGAACAAGATAACATGTCTTCCGTAGATGGTAAGTTATGTACAAGTGTTAGAGCCCCTCTCTCTGAACAAGATATCCTGTCTTCCATAGATGGTAAGTTATGTACAAGTGTTAGAGCCCCTCTCTCTGAACAAGATAACATGTCTTCCATAGATGGTAAGTTATGTACAAGTGTTAGAGCCCCTCTCCCTGAACAAGATAACATGTCTTCCATAGATGGTAAGTTATGTACAAGTGTTAGAGCCCCTCTCCCTGAACAAGATAACATGTCTTCCATAGATGGTATTGCTGGAATATTGCTAAAAGTAGGGTGGAAGCCCACTCACTCACTCACTCACCCAACACCCACTCACCCACCCACTCACTCACTCACTCACTCACCCACCCACCCACTCACTCACCCACTCACCCAACCTATCGCTCACTCATTCATCAGGAGCTTTTTTACTGGACGTGCTCAAATCTGATTATTTCAGACAATTCCCGACAGTCCGGAGACTCCACAGTCAACCAACCAGTATCCAAGCAAGCAGTTATCAGTATCAAATCGGAGTCTGAAACACCTGCCAAGTCTGATAATGAAGCTGAGCCAGAGGCAGAGGAGTCCGAGGCAGAGGAGTCTGACCAAGATGATTCTTCAGTTCACAAGAAGCGGAGACTGGACGGAGGCGAGGACGAGAAGCCTGAGGAACCTCCTCCGCCAAAGTAAGGATGGATGGGTTTACTGTTTGTGGGTCAATGTAGACTGGAAGCATTCTTGCATTCCTAGAGTATTTTAAAAATGAAAACACATTCCAGTTTATTCTTCCCGTGGAAACAATTGGAACAATGTTTCAGTTTAGTGTGTTTGCTTGTTAAAGGTTATTTGGTACATTTTTACATCGGGACTGCTCCAGTCTAGGAGAACAGGGAAGTGAGGGAGTTAGTTTGGTTTTATGCCGCTTTTAGCAGTATTCCAGTATATTGCAGCAATATCACATCAGGGAATCATGGGCTTCACACTTTGAACCCGTGTCTTTGGTGTGACGAGCGAACGCTTCAACCACTAGGCGACCCCGCGCCCCCTGACAGGGAAGTGAGTAGAGATTGTGTACTTCAGGGAGAAGTTTGGCTTGAGAGCTTTTAAGTCTTTTCAGTACATGGAGAGACAATTTGATTGATATAAGGGCGGTGGGGTAGCCTAGTGGTTAAGGTGTTCGCTCTTCACGCCAAAGACCCGGGTTCGATTCCCCACATGGGTCCAATGTGTGAAGCCCATTTCTGGTGTCCCCCGGCATGATGTTGCTGGAATATTGATAAAAGCGGCATAAAATTAAACTCACACACTGATTGATATAAGTCTTGAGTAGAACTTGAGTACATGGGATGACAGGTATTATAATTGTGACATTCAGAGTAGGCCTACAGAAGGTCTTGGGTAGTACTTTAGTATTTGGAGACCAAGGGGACACTTAATCGGCTTATCATACTTGAAACCCAGATATTGTCTAGTGCTATAATCAGTTTTCAGCAGTTCAGTCGACTTGTTCAATCACTTTTCTGGGTTAGTTTAAGCTAACCTGCTAGAACGATTATGAACAGCCTTTGTATCCTTACAGGAATAATGCATTGTGTACCATAAAATGATCTGTCCTACTTTCACCGGCACAGTTTCTCCCCGATGAGTCTGTATGATGAAATCCAGCTCCTGAAGAAACTAAACATGGTGGCAGAGAAGATGACATTGGAACCGCAACTGAACCGATTCCGCAGGAAACTGGTCATCAGACAGGTGCTGGAATCCTTCTCTTATATCCTTCTGATTCAACTTTTTAAGACTTGTGTATCAAATGTGGATCTTGGTATGCTCAGTTACCATGGTGACAGTAAAAAAATGAAAACAATGTTACAAGATGAGTAGGTTTATTTAACAATGACTACCATTGCTTCAACTTTTTCAACAGCTGAAGAGGGAGAGAGGCATGCCTGTATTTGACCTTGACCTTGAAATGAAGAAGATGATGCAGAAGGACTTCGGGCACATGCAGGACATGGATGTAAGTCTGGGAAGAACACTTGGCAGGAGAGTTTTGACCACCATCATCTGGTCACGATCCACACTCCGACATCATGTTACATGATCTACTGGTCATCTGACATGATCCAAATGCCACTACTATGTGACACAATCCACTTGCCACTATCATGACATATCCACACATCTTCATCTTAACTTGATACATCCACACGGCAGCACCATGTTACATTGTCCACTGGTAAACATCCTGTGACATGATCCACTTGTAACACCACCCTGTGATATGGTCCACTTGCCACACCACCCTGTGACATGATCCACTTGCCATGCCACCCTGTGACATGATCCACTTGCCACATTTACCTATGACATGATCCAGTTGCCACACCAACCTGAGACATGATCCACTTGCAACATTTACCTATGAGACATGATCCAGTTGGCACACCAACCTGAGACATGATCCACTTGCCACAATCACCCTGTGACATGGTCCACTTGCCACACCACCCTGTGACAAGATCAACTTGCCACCATCACCCTGTGACATGACCCACTTGCCACACCACCCTGTGACATGACCCACTTGCCACACCACCTTGTGACATGGTCCATTGCCACTTGCTTGTGACATGACCCATTGCCACCCAGTGACATGGTCCATTTGCCACACTACCCTGTGACATGATCAACTTGCCACCCACCCTGTGATAACATGACCCACTTGCCACACCACCTTGTGACATGGTCCACTTGCCACACTACCCTGTGACAAGATCAACTTGCCACACCACCCTGTGACATGACCCACTTGCCACACCACCCTGTGACATGGTCCACTTGCCACACCACCCTGTGACATGATCCACTTGCCACACCACCCTGTGACATGACCCACTTGCCACACCACCTTGTGACATGATCCACTTGCCACACCACCCTGTGACATGATCCACTTGCCACCATCACCCAGTGACATGGTCCACTTGCCACACCACCTTGTGACAAGATCAACTTGCCACCATCACCGTGTGACATGATCCACTTGCCACCATCACTCTGTGACATAATTCACTTGCCATGCCACCCTGTGACATGATCCACTTGCAACACCACCCTGTGGATCCACTTGCCACACCACCCTGTGACAAGATCAACTAGCCACACCACCCTGTGACATGATCCAATTGCCACACCACCCTGTGGATCCACTTGCCACACCACTCTGTGACAAGATCAACTTGCCACTACAATGTGACATGATCCACTTGCAACACCACCCTGTGACAAGATCAACTTGCCACACCACCCTTTGACATGATCCAATTGCCACACCACCCTGTGGATCCACTTGCCACACCTCCCTGTGACATGATCCACTTGCCATACCACCCTGTGACAAGATCAACTTGCCACTACAATGTGACATGATCCACACGCCTCCAAACATATCCAAACACCACATGATATGGATCAACACACCATGACAATATGACATGATTTTCTACCACATGATGTCGCATGTCAACACCTGCCAAGAAAATGTCTGCCCACCACATGACCATACAACCTATTTGATTTTGCCCAAACCTTTAAAACGAAGGAAAATTGAACAATTCAGAACATGCTTCCAGAGTGATGTTGTTGCCAATTTTTTAGATGTTTTTATGAATAACCCTTTTAGCGCATGTTGCAGGACGGATTTGATCAGAGATCACAAATGAGGTCACTGATGAGACCTAGGGGTGCTGATCTTCGCATTCTGGACAGGTTTCAGGTAATGACGCCACTCTTCATGGGTTTTGGTGTAGCCCAGTAGTTAAGTGTTTGCTTCCTCAATGTTTGAAGCCCATTCTTGGTGTCTGTGATGTTGGTGTAATATTGCTTGAAGTGGCTCAAAGCCGTACAGACTGGTACTTCACATCCAATCATTATAGTGGTTACTCTCTGCTTCGGGGCTGTGGGGTGGCCTAGTGGTTAACGTATTCGCTTGTCACACTGAAGACCCAGGTTCGATTCCCCACATGGGTTCAACATTTCTTGTGTCCCCTGCCGTGATATTCCTGGAATATTGCTATAAGTGGCGTAAACCTAAACTCACTCACTGCTCCCTGTGCTGGAAATGATGCAAATTGAAGCTAAGGAGTGAAGTGTTTTAGCGTACTCAGGGAAGAAATCTATATTTTGTAGTCCAACAACGCATTCACGTAAGGTTTTTTCACTGTGAGGTTTTATGTTCAAAGTGCAATCCAATGAGATCCAAGGCTTCATCACAGCAGTTCTCTTCATTCATGAACCGATTGGTAGGCACAGATGATGATCAGCTTCCTTGTATCACAAGCCCATACACAACAAGGTAACTTTATCATTTGTCATTCAAAAATCTGCATGTTCCTAACGATTGAAACGATTGAGCTCCAGTACCTCACAGTGTGTATTTTGGGCCTGTGAAGAGCATTGGTACAAGTGGGTTCACATGATGTGTTTACTCAGTAACTTGAAGTTTATTTGATGTTCACAAAAACTTTCAGTTTATGGGGTTCTGTGTTCATAATTAATGTTTGATGAGGAATAGATGTTGTCATGAATACAGGAATGGTTAATGTAAATATGTACCAATCACTGTGTTGCCAGAGTGCTGAAGCCCTTCATTCGTCGTGATCATGAAACCAAACCCCTCAAGATGAGGCTCCTGGAGGAGATTGTGGCATACCCACACAGGTGAGACATGTTATCTGTACACATGAGGCTTGTTACCTGCACAGGCGAGACATGCTACCCGCACAGGCAAGACTTGTTACCCACACAGGCAAGACTTGTTACCTGCACAGGCAAGACTTGTTACCCACACAGGGGAGACTTGTTACCCACACAGGGGAGACTTGTTACCCGCACAGGTAAGACATGTTACCCGCACAGGAAAGACATGTTACCTGCACAGTCAAGACATGTTACCTGCACAGGAGAGTCATGTTACCCGCACAACTAAGACATGTTACCTGCACAGGCAAGACATGTTACCCACACACGTGAAACATGTTACCTGCACAGGCGGGGCATGTTACCCACACAGGAGAGTCATGTTACCCGTTCAACTAAGACATGTTACCTGCACAGATGAGTCATGTTACCTGCACAGGTGAAACATGTTACTCGCACAACTAAGACATGTTACCCACACATGTGAAACATGTTACCTGCACAGGAGAGTCATGTTACCCGCACAACTAAGACATGTTACCTGCACAGGCAAGACATGTTACCCACACATGTGAAACATGTTACCTGCACAGGCGGGGCATGTTACCCACACAGGAGAGTCATGTTACCCGTACAACTAAGACATGTTACCTGCACAGACGAGTCATGTTACCTGCACAGGTGAAACATGTTACTCGCACAACTAAGACATGTTACCTGCACAGGTGAGACATCTTACTTGCACAACTAAGGACATGTTACCAGCACAGGTGAGACATGTTACTCGCACAACTAAGACATGTTACCTGCACAGGCAAGACATGTTACTCGCACAACTAAGACTTGTTACCTGCACAGGTGAGACATGTTACTCTCACAACTAAGACATGTTACCTGCACAGTCAAGACATGTTACTTGTACAACTAAGACATGTTATCTGCACAGGTGAGACATGTTACTCTCACAACTAAGACATGTTACCTGTACAGGCAAGACATGTTACTTGCACAACTAAGACATGTTATCTGCACAGGTGAGACATGTTACTCTCACAATTGAGACATGTTCCCTGCACAGGTGAAACATGTTACTTGCACAACTAAGACATGTTACCTGCACAGGTGAGACATGTTACTCGCCTAGGTGAGGCATGTTATTCACATAGGTGAGTGAGACCTGTTGCCAACTCCACTGAAACTTGTTACAACACAGCTGTCTACAATGTTACACATACTACCTTCTTAACATATGTATAGGTTAACAATGTTATGCACATTGCCTACTTAAGATATATACGAGTAAGATATATATATAAGTTATCTACAGTGTTTTGCGCACTTAACAGATTAGTTGCTTACACTGTCTACTTTTTCTTCAGTGCTGACTCGTCATGGCAACCACCTCCTTCTCCCCCTATTGATTACTGCTACGTGAGACCTCAACATATTCCATCCGTCAACATACTGTGCCGAGAGTTCTTCTGGCCAGGCATTGACTGTAAGTCTCAAAGAATAGTCTCACTTTAACACTACGTATTCCTCCCATAAATCAACCATTCAATAAACAAAATTCATGGTGTAACCATGTTGACATATTTTTCAATTTTCATCCAAACTTCTACTTAAATTGAGCCAGAGGCATATTTTTTAAATCATCTTCATCATGCACAAACTGATTAAGACATTTGTGTGAATCAGATGTAGTTGGGTATGATAAAAATTTGGTTGACTTAATGTGTGGTGTATTTTATGATGGAAAAGAAGAAAAGAAGAGTAAAAAGCAATTTCTTTCATCTGTAGGTACTTTCTACACAGTGATATTTCAGGGAGTGTTATTTGTGGTGGGGATCAAAATAATGTATTATGTGAAGCAGGATTCACACAAGTCTCACAAGGGTCACAGGGGACCCAGAGGGCACCCATAGGGGACCTACAGGTGGAGAGTGTCACTATTCTCTGCTCATAGTTCCAGAAACTTGTGGGTTCGAATGAAAGTGATAATGCTTGTAGCTTCATCAATACCATTCTTGTGTTTGTGGTACTCCTCTAGGATCTGGGGCGGTGGGGATAGCCTAGTAGACTCGCGCTCGTCACGCCGAAGACCCAGGTTCGATTCCCCACATGGGTACAATGTGTGAAGCCCATTTCTGGTGTCCCCCGCTGTGATATTGCTGGAATATTGCTAAAAGCAGCATAAAACCATACTCACTCACTCAGCTATGTATTTGATGTCCCAATTTCACCCTGATTATATTCCAAGGTTTATTGCACTTATGCAGCATGGGTGCTTGCGTGTGTTTCTAGAAAACCGGCCTAATGCCACTTTTGTAGTCTTAGCCTATTAAGATACCATGCCACACTGACTGACAAGTTCTGGTTTAATACTGGGGTCTCCCGTTGTGATATTGCTATAATATTGCTAAAAGCGGAGAAAAAACCAAACTCTCACTCTCTAAGATCTGCAACAATTGATATGCTGTGATAATTCACTCAGTCCACGTCTCTAACTGTTTCAGTGTCTGAGTGTCTCCAGTACCCAGATTTCAGCTGTGTAGTTCTGTACAGGTAAAGTTCCATGTTATCCTCGGTCAGAATTCTCAGTGCTAGAAACAATATTGATGTCTTAGTTCTCCATTCTCACCAACATAGGCATCTGATATCAGCAAAGTCCATTCTGGCAGCACCCACCTGCACTCCTTTTCCTTTCAGGAAAGTGATCATAGGCTTTGCTTTCATGGTTCCGGATGTGAAGTACAATGAGGCATACATTTCCTTCATCTTTGTCCATCCGGAGTGGCGGGGAGCTGGCATAGCGAGCTTCATGCTCTACCATCTCATTCAGGTGTGTACACTTTCACTTTTTTAAATGTAATTTTTTAAAGGTCACATGCAACCAAAAAATCAAACATAATTAAAACACAATTATCACTTCTTCATGACATATAATATGCATTGTTGATTATGAAAAAACAAATAAACAATATTATAAGCGTATAATCGCAAATCAAAAGTGCAATATTTTGTACTTGGGTTTACCTCCCTCGAAACGAAGCAGCCGGGATACCGAACCCAGTCAGAGCGGGTGGGTGTGCACTCAAGTGTAACGGCTGGTTCATTAGCAGATGCTGCCTTCACGGCTCATTGTGTGTGTATATATAGAAAGTTGGGTTTTGTAGTTACATGCTCATTTTTTGTGTATAACATTTTGCAATCAACAGACATCATAACATGTCATGTGTTCAAGTATCACACCTGCCTGTCTGTGTAATTACATAATGTGACAGAGACCGAACTCGGGCCATAAATCAATGCGTTTTGTTTATGGTGTATAGCCTGATTGGTGTTAAGTTCAAATTGCATGTGGTCAGTGATCGCAGTTGTGTATTGAATATTGTCATTAGCAGACAGGCAGGCAGACACACTGGTGTCAATAAAACAAGACATTGAGTTTTGTCTGTGACAGGGACATATCTATATCACAGTTAGAAATCGTGTCAACTCTAAATAATGCTTTTAAGTATCGAACTGAGAAAGTGACACGGTAAGAAGAACGTGTGGTGAAATAGACAAATGAAATTATATAAACAGTTTATTTACTGTCATAACATACAAAAGCTCAAGCTTCTGTGAGATATCAACAAAACATTAGGAAACTAGCTCACACCAAAGCCTTCACAGAGTATTCACCAGACAGCCCGCTTCCAAGTTGCGCGAACCTATTTCACTGCGCACGTGCTATGAGCGCAGCCAGCTGTTGAAACCCGTATTCCCCAGAAAAGTCTGGGGAAAATTAGTGAATCGTTTGAACTCTGATTTCGCGCGGGTTTTTTCATCGCGTTATTTTTCAACTTTATAAGTTGAATTTGCATTTTTGACGCTTTGTTTCGGTAAGTCCATACCGAAAGGTATCAGAATCTGCAAAGTTGTGTTTTACGTTGCATGTGACCTTTAAGTAAAATTGATATTTTATACTTATCCTGACTCATGATCTTTTGCTTATCTCCCTTTCCCTTTCGAATGGTAGTGGAACACTTGAATCCCTTGAAGTTCCCGAAGCGGACGTATAAATACTCACCCACGAGTTACCTCCCTTGCCCTTTCCCGCAATGATTATAGGGTTCAGTCTAAGCTTGTCAGGTAGTAATGGGGATTTAGGGTTAGAGTTGGTCCCTTACAACCTATGGGCAACTGATCAGGTGTTTCAGGCTCGGTGGCCTTGTTGATAACATTTCATCAAACCATGTCATTAAGTATTTGTATTTGATGACATTTTAAACTCAGTAACATGTACAGGTGAACAACATTGCCATTGCACTACTAGTATTTCCATTTTATATTTTTAAGATTTGTGTTATGTCAAAGAGAACTCGTGATTTTCAAATCACTCCTCAGACCCATTATCTGTTTTTGGTTTAGGTTTCCATACATTCTGCAGGTAGTGTTAGTAAGGTGTACAGTTATTTTCACTTAGCAGATAATACAAGATAATAGATAACATTTAGGAAGTATTGACTCAATAGGATAGCGTGTCTATATTAAGAATCAATAGAGAATTAGTGAATTCCATGTTGTTGATGTTGTAGACGTGTATGGGGAAGGATGTCACCCTCCATGTGTCGGCCACAAACACGGCCATGATGCTGTACCAGAAGTTTGGCTTCAAGACAGAAGAGTTCATCCTCGACTTCTACGACAAATACTATCCCATTGACAGTCGGGAATGTAAACATGCTTTCTTCCTCCGACTGAGGAGATGAATAAATTTCATATTTCATGCAACTTCTGTGGTTGTTCTGTAGATGCAGGATATTGGTGCAGTGTGAATTACAACAGCAGTTTGCTGACCACCCATTTCATTTGGATGCCTCTTAAATCCAGTATAAGTTTGCTTAAGATCAATTAATACCCGGATTCTCCAAGGGGAAGGGGAACAGTGACTTTTTTTTAGTGAGGGTTGATCATGGTTTAAGCCACGTTTTAGCAATAAGACAACGGTCGACAGGGCATGCCACATTGTGCAAGAGAGAAATCATACTTGGGTTTTCACATGACTCACGAACTCTCTGTACACTATTTATACTCTACCTCGATTTGGGTCAACAATAATCTACAGCCAGAGATTTGGTCATATATCCAATCCATATACATATGTTTAACCAGCTGGCATCTATAAATGATCTATGATGGCCTAAAGTAACATGATGCTCACTTTGTAGTATTGTATAAATGTGTCTTCATCTAGTTGAACCAGACACTTAAATTCTTGCTTCCCTGAATATGTTGATTCTTGCCCAGCAGAAATGTTTGTCACTATACATTCTGTGGCCTGGTTGAATTGGTAATATTTATATTTTAAGTGATGCAGGTCTCAGATGTTTTTAGTTTTCTTAAAACCTAGAACATGGAATATGGAGCTGACAAACCTTGGAACATGATCAAGGTACTTTGATTTACTGAATCACAGTGCTCCAAAAGTATGTAAGTCTTAACCTGGCAAAACAGTTGCCAATAGTGTGATGAAGCATCAGCACCCTCCAGGATACAATGATCACCACTCAAGTCTCCAGTGGTATCTATAGTTACAGATCAAACCAGAGCCAACACAATGCTTTAGTATCTAGTACAGCAGGCTCTGTCAGTATCCATGAAGTTTACGCCACCTCAATCCATTGGTCACTTATATGTTGCATCCTGTCTGTAAGTATATATGGGTGATTGAGGAACACCAGTGATGATCTCTGTGTAATCTCTAGGTACTTCACATACACTGCAACCATTGAGTGAATGATATCCCTTCAAGACAAGACAGAAGACTAACATAGCAGTATGGTTTTAATCAGAGTTGACAAGCATTAACACACCAATCCATCTTTACAAACCACAAAACTACAACTGAAATAATTATGTACATGTAATTCTGTTTTTCAAGCCAAAATACTAAATCTTTGTATACCAACACATTACGATATCAACAAACTAGTCTTCAATCAATCTCAAACTTTAACAAATCTTTGGGTTCCTGTTCCATAGTCTCATGCTTTTACTGTACAACATTAAATTTTCAAGATTTTTTTTTCAAATAAAAGTTTAAATTTACAAACATGCAAGTTACAGAAGAGATTCTGTAGGACAATTCATATAAATAATTCATTTCCCAATGTACCACAAAGTAGCGGTGTTAACAGCCTTTCTCCTTATGAAGCCTGTAACTTTGACTAAAACATATACATTTAACTATGCTACCGATGCTTACCATGAAGGTTACTGAAACATACTCATATATACATGTATACTCATAAACTTTAGCAAAAATATTAAACAACCAAAATACAACCAACAGTTTACACGAAATGTACAGTATCCCAATAAATTAGGCACATCACCTACAAGCTTATATGGCAACATTTTCAGCACATTTTAGATGACGTGAACAATGACTGCAATAAATGAAGAAATGTATGAACATGACATTCATATATGAGAAACTTTCTGTCAAGAATATAAGAAGGAACTGTTACAAGACAATGATGGTCAAAAGTGGAGATAAAATTAAGTTATTATGTGGATAAAATAACAATTGGTTCAAGCAATTCAAGAGAGAAATTAATTATAAGCAATATCTAAATTTGTTGTGGTCGTTGCTGTCACTGTGGATGAGCGCTATCTTTCAGGACAATGACATTCCACAGTCATGTAATGCCTAACCATTACATCGGTTTGACAACAGGCCATGATTTCATGTATGCAAACATTTCATTACACAATACAAAATGTGCAGATGTGAAAGCATTAGCACGTGTTAGAAAGATATAATTGCATTCCTAGAAAAATAACATCTCTGCAAGTTGAGTGAATATGATGAACAGACAATGTACGGTGGACAGCCATAGGGGAGTTCCCTAATTATAGTTTTCCAGAAGGGTTATAATAAATCAGTTTCAGCAAGAATACCATTCACATCAGTGCCAAGAAACATCCATCTCGACAAGCTCCACCCTCCAGTATCAAGTATCATATCCCCAGTTTACCGTGATGTATGTCATAACAGAATGGAGATCTAATACACTAGATAATCAAAGAGTAGCCTGTCAACTTTAATCATCAATCTGAACATTCAAACTTAGCCTTCAGATGAATAAACTAAACTACAAACTTGGCCTTCAGATGAATAGATCTGAACTGAGTGTTCTGAACAGAATGGCGACAAACACTGTAACATGTATCCTTGGATTGTGAGCTATCACACTAATGATCTGAATATGACATGGGTCTCCTTTCACGAAGCAATCTTTACTGAGGTTAACCTTAACTCCCATTCTTTAACATTGCACTAAGGTTACCTTAGTGACTTACGATCACCTTAGTGCTTTGTGAAAGGAGGCCATGGTGTTATTACAAGATGGGAGAATATAGGCATGATGAAATAATGCTAATATCTGAAGTGTTAAAACATAGAACATGATGGTTTATCAAACACACGGTTAATCACTATGTTCACAAAGAAAATAACAAAAATTGTTCTCAAGATTAACTCGGGACCCTATGGAAAATGACATTTAGGGAACTTCCCCAAGACTGGAACATGTAGGATGTGTGGAAACATGTCACCTGGGATGATGATCCTTGGGTGGGTGTATAACAGGTTATAGACAATAATAAAATATTGCACACATGAATCAACCACTCCACAACAAATGAACTGCTAAGGAAAACATATTCAACATCCTATTTCCTTTCATACTCACACGGTTAGAATGACTTATCTGTTTATATTGGAGAGTAGCACAACATGCTAAGCCTATAGTGGGAGGAGCTCATTTTGAGATGATAACCAATACCTTATCAATACTTGTATAGAAAGTTCTAATCAAATACAATATTAACATCGATTCAGTAACATCGCCTCATATGAGTAACTGTCTCCAGGAGTAACATACACTACAGAATCGGTGCAATAATTTCTATATAACAAGACTACCAATGAGCTACATATATTTGAATAAATGAATGGAAAACATATCAGTTTCAAAGTATGCTGGCTTCAGAAGATAGTTACCGTAGCGACAGTCTTACTAACCTTATTCCCTGAATGTACAAATGATCTTCAGATAGATGATGCTTCATAATAAAATATTCCATAGAAATAAAAAAGAAAACGGAATAACAATAATAAAAGTCGACAAATATCAGTTTCTATGACTCCATCTCTGTTTACACATGGCAGTGGTTGAGCCTGGAATGGTTCATCAACATATAGTGGTAACAAATGACCTTCACCCTGCAGCACAGCAGCAGGGGATTGTGGGATATGTAAACAATGCATAGATGGAGATCGGTGTAAAACAGTCTTCTGGTTACATCAGGATGACCTATACCAATGCACATTCAGACTTCCAAAATCAGGATGCGCGTAGTTTGGTTCATGGTAAATTTGAAATCTGAATATGCCAATAACCTTAGATTCATCACAATCATTCATGACTTAACTAAACCGTAACAACATCTGTAAATTGTGATTGTGCAGGATAAGCTTATTGGTTAGAAAACAGTCGCCATATGGTCGACTTCAAGATGTTGTTGAGGTAGGTGATGGTATACCCCAGTCGAAAATATGCTGGATCTCACACAGATCAGGTCATAGTGGCTTATTGCAAAAACAGTGTGCAAATCAAAATGACTCAAAATGTTTACCTGTTGAATGAACCTATAAATACTACTTAGCACTGGCACAATTCCAATCTAAGTCCCGATTTTACCTTATCCACATCCTAAAAGACTATTTCCAAATATTTGAAAAAAGTATTGCTTTAATCAGCATTAGCAGTATTGCAGCTATTCACAGCTACAATTACTCATTGGAGCACAACAGCATGATGAGGCCTCGTCTTGTATATTTCTGATTAGCAGGACCCACAAAGTAAGCTCACTTTTACATGGCTATTTGCATTAAAGTTTGAGCTACCTACCCTCTACCCACATATCAAAAGAAAAATCTGACATCTAAAAAGGTTAATGAAATATGCAGATATGAGATACAAAACACTTTTTATCTAGGCCCAAATCAGTGAAAAGATAAACCATTTGAACTATGTAGGGAAATCAAATCCTGAAATATTTTATCGTGATACGGAATGTGGAAAAGATGGACAAGTCCCAGCATTCATTGTCTTCACGCCCCTAACACCCACCATCTGAGCATTGTAAAAAGATGTCTCCTGTAGCCATTCTTGTTTCCACAAAATTTCATCTACTGGTGTTCAGTTCTAAAATTTCATTGTTTACCACTGTTTCATTTCTTGGGACATGTTGTATTGAGTGTACACACTTTCAAATACTTTTGGGAATAAAACAAATTGATTAAATTATTATCAATATGTACAGACATGGTACATGCAGGATTGGGAATAAAACATGGAGGTAGATACAACAATCGAGTATTGTTAGCACGCTTCACATAACATAGTAACATACTCCCGGAGGTTCCATCGTACAAGTAGGAAAATCATCACCTACACTTTCACAACTATACCCATTTTACTCAAAATCTATGGTATTGATTTTAACTGTTTCCTCTAGCAATGATCACATATCAAGCAGCAAACATTTATATCTGAGTGTCTTGATGTAGGAAACTTAATTTCCCTTTTACCATTCTTAAAACAAAATTACTTGTATTTTAGGCCCTCTTTCTCATGATTATGGATCACTCAAAAGAAGTCATAGAACAGCAAATTTAGCTTCACCATAGCTAAGTAGTCATGGCTGTTCAGTATTGCAAAACACAGCCTTCTGATTGATGTGCTCTTTTAATTTATTTTGAGTTGTGCGCATAAAACTTTTCAAATACAAATAAGCCCAAATCATGTTCACCAACCACCACACATATTATATACCCCATGCCCTGTCAACTCTCAGAGGGCTGTAGGTTTTAATACACAATAGCAGACATTTTCAATACGTGTACAATAGAACCCGAGGTTTTAAATAATAAAACTAACATTCATAATGTACATATTGTATTATCTTAATACACTTAGACACAACGAAAGTTGGTTGAAGGTACTCTTGCATCTTGATATTGCTGCCAATCATATTGGTCAGTGAATAGGAAGATCGTTTACAAAGCTCTTCACAATACCCTAACAATATACACCATACAAGCTTATTGCAAGGGTAATGTGTTTGCTTAATCAGATTTTGTTAAGGACAATTTATGGAGGCAATGAGAAGTGTAAAAATGTTATATAAATTATAAATCATGATTTAAAGAGGAAATAAACATGTCTGACCCAATAAAACTACACTCCTATACTTCTGTTTTCAAAGATTTAATAAATGACAAAAAAATGTGAGAACTATAAGCATTTATATGAATTAACTGTGGTACCATAGCACCACAAATACACTGTAAAACTGAGCACATGCTTTCAGTTGTAAATTAAGAACAGTGAGAAGAATTGGCGAAAACCTCAAGATATGATAAACATTACCCAAACTGTCTGCGTATATATGAATCAACAGCAAACATTACTTTTGGGGGATCAGGAATGTACTGTATTGGGCCAGACATGGTTCCGATCTTACATCTGAATTAGTTTCAGATACTCGAAGAAGTGTATGCATTCAAACAGCATTTCTGCAAAGGTAGGGACAAACATCCATATAGCTTGGGCATCAAAGTACAAGTGTTCTCAAAAAAACTTTTCAACCACCTGAGATTTTGTCAGCAAGTCATACATAATTTCCTTCAAAGTGAGACAATTTTTAGAATCAATTTAATATTTTGACCTAGTATCATACAATCATATACATTGTGATGTGCAGTAGCCTTATGAAAGAGCTACATAAAAAGTGAAAAATGTAATTTCATCATCACCTCTTAAAGGTCAGACATGTGAGGACAGATCATACAGAAGGCCAGACATATTGTCAGAGGTGGAAGTCCCTATACACAGCATTTGAAAAAAACCCACACCTCTCAAAGCTTCAAAGTTTCTTGTGAACACTTGACAACAGTAATGGTGATGGTAACAACACGCTTCATCACAGACGAACATGACCAAAGTCTGTGTAATCAAGTTCCCCCCTGCTAGCTGCCAAGGGTTGATGTCTGCAATATAGTAACCAAATAGTTGCTGCCTTTGGTGATCCCTGGAATTGTGCAGTATTACCGGTACTCGATTCTCAGTATTTAACTGTTACTGCTGTTGTTCCATCAAAACCTATCTCATTCACACAAGCTGTTGGGACAATGCCTTGAGGCTTAAGTTGTCATAAAGCTGTGAATTCATTCTGAGCAATTTGTAACAATGATCTTCACACATTGTCAACTCCTGTAATGGCCCTATATCTGATCACAGTTCATTAATGCAATAATTGTTTAGTGCCCACGTGATTTTGAAAATATAAGAGTTAACAGTCATTTCCAAACTTTGCCATTCATCAGTCAAGGATCTGAATAAAGGATGCAAGTATAACAATCTATTATACAACATTGTGCTTGGTTTGATGGCACAATGAGCCATTTGTATTGTTTGTGTTCTTGTTGAGTAGTATTTCTGCTACTGCTGCTTGTTCTCCGGAAGTAAGAAGATCCATGTAACACCTGAGGGGAAAATGGGATTTTTTGTCGTTACCGTTCTCAACAAACAATGACACACATCACATTCACAGAAACTCTTCTGATAACAACAACAGATTATAGTCATGTGACACGCAGTCCATAAATTAAGAGTTCTCTTCAATATGTTACAATATGATGCCCACCCACGAGCAGGTTGGATGAAAATGCACATATACACGAGCACAGCCTAGACTTGAGAAGCAGCAGGTGGATCAGCAAAGTCTCGACGATACGGCACTGTATCACCTGCCTCCCATCGGATACTGTTGCCAACCAGAGTTACTCAGTGGTGGCATCTGTTGGCCATACTGTGGCCGTAGTCCACTCTGGTTCATGGAAAAGTTTAACGGTGGTGCATTCATTGGAGGGAAGGACATCCTGCTGGCCGAGAAGTCACTACGAGGGCCTATAGGTATGTTGTTGGATGTGTAAGCAGGGATACGGGCGGCCCCATTGGGTTGGGTGGACATAGAAGGGGGCATACGTGATCCTGGATTGGTTGGGTTGGGTAGTGAGGGAGCTTGGTTCATTCTCTGGGGAGGGGCGGATAATGGAGGAGGTGGGTAGTTCAGCTGTGGGGGTACAAACTCTTGTGGGTTTCCACACCCAGGTGGCATTGACCGCTGCATGTCAGGGAATTGGGAACGTGACATGTCCCCTTGGTGACGTAAGGGAGAGTTCATGGAAGGACCTTGTACGCATGGACGTGAATTGACATTAAACGCTGGACCCACCGAATTTGGTCTCTGTGAAACACCGATTCCAGAACTAGGCATTGGTGGACGTGGAGGAGGGGCATTAGTATTCTGATGTGGTCCCACAGGCATGGAATTGGAGATGGGTGAATTGTTATTACAAAGAAGAGACCTTTGGAACATTGCGTTGGGTGGTGGACGACTCAAATCAGGTAATGTTGGAAATGGTGCTGTTTGTCGAGGCTGGTTAATAGGTGTTCCAGGGTTGACATTATTGTTGAATGACGATCTGTTTGGAGGGGGCTGATTCAAATTGGGCATTTGGGGCATTTCATTATAACTGCTGTTCTGGAACCCTTGCGGTAGATGTTGTAGCTGCATACCAGGGAGTGGAACAGGGTCAGACGGTTTGGGACCAGATGGCAGAGTGGGTGGGGCTGGGGGCACAACGTCTTTACGGGGAGGGAATGAGTAGTTGTTGAATGGTGAACCAGTTAATCCTGAGGGAGGCCCAATGTTTACACTGGAAGTTGGTGGTGGAGTATTCATCATCATCACACCTCCTCCACTGAAGCTATTGTTGTTAACAACATGTATATTGGCACATGTAGCGGAACTGTTAGTTTGTATTGGACTCCCTGCAAAGGCATTAACATTATTATTGGTTAGCCTGTTGGTATCACTGGATTTATTCCAATTGATGTCTCTCTCGAATAGAAATGATTAGTCTGCTGCTTGTTTGAAGGTGAGTTTTTGGCAGTTAAGTTGGTCTTGCTGAGCTGCACTGCACTGCCATTCTTTGCCTTCTTGCGTTCATCGTCACTACTGTCACTTGACAAACTACTCAGACTACTACTGCGCCGTGAACGGCTGCGTGATGAACTCCTACTACGACTGCCACTACTTGACCGACTTCGGCTCCGAGAAGAGTAGCTATGTGAGCGAGAGCGACTCCTGCCCATACTCTCACTACGACTCCTACTTTTCCTACCATGGTCCTTTGGGGAGCCTGGGGGTGTACATGGCCCCTTTCTTTCAGCAGGAGGTGAACCTGGTGGGGTTCTGGGTCCTGTAGACGATGACCCCGGGGAGGAGCGACTAGTGGTGGAAGAAACACCTTGAAGTTTGGCACACTTAGCTAAAGCTGAACTCCCAAATGAACCCATCGGCTTTTTCACCCCAGAAAACATGCCTTTCCCATCCATTCCTCGCATACATTTTGTAGATTTGGCATATTTACTAAGTGGTGGTGTTCCATAAGTCTTGCTAACAGATCGGGTAGGATCCTCACTCAAATTCTTCCTTTTTAACTCTCGATTGCGATCTAACTCTGACGAAGCAAATGCTACAAGTGCATCGAAGCCACTGTTAATCTGAGCCTGCCAGTTTTTGGTGGTGGGAGATCCACTCTCAGCCTTCTGCACCTTAGAACCTGCAATACATAAGGATTGCAGTTGAGCTTTAACCACTGAAATCCCTAATTAAGCTCGATTAAGTACTACAACATACTTATATCTTATTTAAATTAATGTAATCATATAGCCTCCATTGCTTTTAACATCTAATTAGTACCTCAGCATAGATGATTCTACAGTTATTTCACGGATTAGTTTTCATATATGTAGGAACAAGATGGAATATTTACAGGAAGCATTGTGCAGAGAAGCAGGAAGAAATAACACTCCAATATACACACCACACAGCAGTGCAAAAAAGCATGGCACAATAAAAAAAATACAACAGAAACAAACAAAACACTATGACCTCCCAAAGATCAAGTACAAAACAAAATAAAGCTATCAGTACATACTACTGGTTGAACAGATCCTAAATTTATCATCAAATCCATTACTTTTATCACTAGTTCCATTTAAGTTCACCATTATTACAATGTAATGAGATCTTAATACCCTTAGGTTTCAGAACTTTCAGATGAAAATGAAAGTGCACAAGTTTATTTTCACATTGTTATGATTTCCAAACAAATCTGAGCAGATAGTGAGTAAATAGCAGGTAATGTCAATAACCTGATGTGTCCAGTCTGGTTTGTCCTATTGCTAGTAACCAGCTTTCCTAAAAAAATATCTGACTGCACTTTTGTGGTTAAATGTGAAAATGTGTCTCAGAATCTCTAAACATCCTAATCAAATATCAGCTCACAGACAAACATTTTGTAAGGGAAAAATACCACCAGTTTGTTTATCAACTGACTGACTGACTGAGTTTGGTTTTACGCCGCTTTTAGCAATATTCCAGCAATATCACGCCGGGGGACACCAGAAATGGGCTTCACTCATTGTACCCAGTTTGTTTATCAAAGAAAATCACCTTTATGTAAAGCCATATTAGCCCTAGGCCACCGTACTTCATGTAGAGAAAGTGTAATCCCAAATATAACTTACATACAATAAAAACCCATCTACTGACATTGGTCAATGTTATTTGTTCTTATTCAAGGTTCATACAGACTAACCGACTTATCTCAATACAATTCATATCCTAATTTAGTCCATTCCAGAAAACATACATTCTTTTTAAGGAATTGTTGTCGATTATCTGCTTACCATTTTAGGCAGGATGAAACATTTTCAAAAAATCATGCATTGGTCTGGTGTGTTTTTGGTGGTGTGACTGATATAAAAAATTGTCATCATTTTTCATCAACTCAACTTCTAAAATGCCCATCAAAGATAGATCTAGTTCAGTAAGTTATTTTGATATCACTTTATTAAAAACTTCATTGATAAAATTGGAAATAATTATAAACAACAGATTCTAGTTAATAAATCTGATACTATGTATTTTACACATTATCCATCATATGCAGATTTTCTTCAGTCATCATTAGACTACTAAAATTCAGGGCCTAGATTTTCGAAGCTCTCTTAGTGCTAAGATAGTCGTAAGCTAATGTTAATGTATGGCACTTACAACTATCTTAGCGATAAGAGGGCTTCGAAATTCTAGGCCCAGGAGCTTAAGATTAATATGGTAGAAATAAGTAACAACATAGGGGAGTGCATACTTGGGGGATATCAACTTCCTTTGGCTGCAAAAGCTCAGATTTGTAAATAAGTATACAGCAGAGGTCTCAAGGCATGTGTTAACTGTCTTTTTGTTAAGCAATTCATGTTTTGAAATCAGTTGCCATGACTTAGTCCTTATGACAAGCAGTTAAAACAAGAAGACAAAGTCATCAATATCCCCCGCAATGGCAAAATACTCTTCATGATTATGTCTCGAGTTATGATTATGTCAAATATTTAGGTGTGTATATAGAAAAGTGGAAGGAGAGTATTGAAAGGTTTTTAAAGTTCTGCTCCAGAAAGGAGCACTATCACCAATTTCAGTCTATGTCAAACTTGTTGCCATGGAAATGCTAAAAATATTTTATTCAGAATTCCAAAACTACCAAAAAGGAACCAGTACACCACCAGACCAATCTATGTGCCAGGTTTGGTAAAGAAATAGTGAACGGTTTGAGAGTTCTGCTCCGGAAAAGTGTACTACCACCAATTTCAGGCTAAGTAAAAACTTGTTGCCATGGAAATGCCAAAAATATTTTTTTCAGAATTCCAAAACTACCAAAAGGCACGAGTACACCACCAGATCTATCTATGTGCCAAGTTTGGTGAAGAAATAGTGAACGGTTTTAGAGTTCTGCTCCGGAAAAGAGCACTACCACCAATTTCAGGCTAAGTCAAAACTTGTTGCCATGGAAACGCCAAAATTATTTTTTTCAGAATTTCAAAACTACCAAAAGGCACCAGTACACCACCAGATCTATATATGTGCCAAGTTTGGTGAAGAAATAGTGAACGGTTTTAGAGTTCTGCTCCGGAAAAGACAAATGTGCACGGACAGATGGACGGACGCATGCACGCACGGACGGAGTCCATTTTAATACCCCCCGCAAAACGCGTTGCGGGGGATAAAAATCATGGCAATTCAAATCATCTTTTCTAAATTTCAAATTTGTCATTTTTACAGTCAGTCGACAGATCATTAAAATGAAAATAGAATATCAATTATTGTGATTCAGCACATCCTTATTACACGGGAACATTTTATGACTGTTCAAAAACTGTGCCCGTATATATATTTTCCAACTGTGTTAGAAATGGATTTGCTAATTCAGCAACTTTTATGAAGCAAGATAAGCAGTAATCTTCTTGCACAGAAGTTAGAGTTGGTAAAAGCAGCATATTTCTTTTGCATTAACTATAAGCAACAAAATGTGTTGGTGAGGTTTTTACTTGCAATCTTTATTTTCACCTCTTTTATATTTCTCCATCCTCAATCCTATCATAAACACATTTCAGTCAATTCTCCAACCGGAGTGTGTACCTAACACTATGAGCATGAACATTGGTACATGGTTTTTATTGAATCAAAACAAAGTGCCTTAGGCAGGCAATCTGGACGGAAAACATTTAATATTATATATACAATATGAAGATAGTTTAAAAGTTTTAAATCTAAATTCCACAGTATTAAAAAATTGTATTATGAGCCTTCATTCACTCTGAGATATAAAACTAAGCATTAAAATATCTTCCTCCTTTTTGGAACTGTTATCAGTGAAACACATTACTTCTTCAAAGCCACAAAATCAGTTATTAGTCATTTAATATATTAGGAATTTTATAATTTTAATTTGGGAATTTTTATACCATTTACTGCAGACTTGGGGGGAAAATAATGGCTTCTAAGTAGATCTAGATAAATTGCTTGGTACTGATTTTTCTAAAATCAAATTTGACAAGGTATTTACCAAACCTCAATTCAAATTTTGTTAGTCAATATTTAACATTCTAAGCATTAGAAAAATATTCCTTGTGATAAAAATTTATGTGAAATAGTTATTCATAGATTGAGAATACCTAAAATCTCACAATGTTTCTCATCATACTATGAAAATTATGACTGTTTGTACTAGTCTTAACATGAGCAGGCTACATGCAAGGCAACTGTACAACATCAACATTAAACATACTTAAAAAATAACACATCTAGTAGTAACAATAAAGAAACAAGGATTATAAGTATTCAAATACTAATAATATACTGAGGAAAATTACACCAATACCACAGTATGAAGCTCAAATACTACACTACGTATCATGCAAGTGGTTCCATTCAACTTCTCATTCTGTCATACAGTGCCAATATGCTTCCAATCACTCGTGCCACATTGTCCACACTTTCCATCCTTCAAGTGCCCTGCCCTTCCACCCTCAACCTCCATGCCACCCACCCCTCTCACAACCACCCCCACGTAAAGCCACAACCACATCACCCACACCACATAAGCCACACCCACTGACACTCAATGTGGAGCAACTGAACTAAGCGTTGCTAGTGACAACAATGACATAGCAATTGCTATGGCAACAAGAAGGCAGTGCAGTAGAGCAGCTGAATCAGCAGTTTTCCCCTTGTCAACCTGGGGACCAACTTTGTATCAAAACAGACAAGTCGAAAATTTCTACACAATTTCAATCAACTTTGCACAAGCACGTAGAGGTCTTGTTATTTCACTAGAGAAAGCATCATTGATTAAAGTAACAGATTAGACAAGGGAAAATAGCACTACATACACAAACTGACTGATGTAATAGTGAATATCTATTTCAGTACTAGTATTTTAGACAAAGTGAAGGAATTAATACTATTTTTCACCTGTCAGCACTACAAGAATCATCACATCTCAATTCAAGTAATCAAGACAAAGGGTGAAATTGTTTTGTTGTTGTTATTCGACATCATTATTCAGAATATCATCAGAAATAGTAAAATGTTCTTTGACATAAATTGGGCCATCACATATTACCTGGTACATTTGTTTCCATGTATTCCCAAAATGATACTGACAAGAACTTCAATAATTTTTCAAGTTGTTCCAAGTAAATGTTTGGCCATGTGAAGAGTGAGTTTTTATAAACAACATTCCTGAGAAAAGGTAACTGTTCAATTTTGTAATGTAATCAGCATGGTACAACCAATGACTTTGCTGACATATACAACTAAAGACCTCTTCCTTGCCTGTGCAAAGGTTCTTGTCAAAACTTGGCATCAACTTTGCAACATAAAACAGCAACACAACCTTCCATGCAGTATTCAAGAATCAATGAAATAAAAGTAAAATTATAATATAGCTGTACTACTGTACCTAGGAATTAGGAGGCTTTTCAGTTAATATCAATGTGACAACAAATTTTGAAATACATTATGAAAAGCAGAAATTTGCTTAGAATTATAATGTGCTATTTACAAACACATATCAGAGACAATATATTAACAATAGACAAATAGACTTAACATTCTTCCACTTGCACATGAATCTTATCTACATATGCAGCATCATAACAGATGATATTTTCTATGCAAGTAATTACAAAAACATGACACACTGATCAAAACAGGAAAGGTTCTAATATAAGTGTTCATACCTCTTCAGTTTTTATATTACCAACAGATAGATTTTTGTTTAGATCTTTCTCATTGCTATAAATAAGAATCATGTGCAACCAATAAAAGGCACATAAGACACACCCCCAAAGTCCAGAAAGTTTGCTCAGAAATATATTTTCATCAAATATTATCACGGAACTTCAGATTTCGTTTGCTGTTTTTGTAAAATTAGTACCTAGAGCAAGGTTTATGGACATCAGAGTGACATGATAACAAAGATGGACATCTCACCTTGAACTGTTGCTGCCTGGACGTTCTGCAACATTCCTGGTCTATCTTGAACCATCTGAGTCTGTACAGGCAGAGGTGCTGGGCGCACTGCTTGTGCAACATGAGGGATCACTCTGGGAGAATCTTTGGGTTTGGGAGGTAATTGTTGGATGGGGTGTTGTGGGTTGGACACCGCAGTCACTTGCTTCGATGTCTTCACAGGTGTAGTCACAGCCTTTGAGATCTTGTTAACATGTTTTTGATTTGGCAATGAGGAGAGGTATGTCCCTGGAGACAAGATACTGACAGTAGCTCCCGCGGAATGATACGCCGATTGAGTCGTGACACTGTGGGAGCGCACAGATGTGGTCATGGTCTGAGATGGAGCCATTTTCAGAGGTTGTGCAGCCACTGTGGTTTTCATGACTCTAGGCGCTGTCCCTCCAGGCAACAGAATATCTGGGCTAGCAGTCACTTCCATTCCAGAAGGAGTGGATTCTGTGCTACTACGACTGCTAGGCCGGCTTATTGGGGAGTAAGTCACTTCTGACAGCTTGTTCGTATTGGCTCCATTTGCTCGTCCGTCAAAACTTTCACGGAAGTTAATCAAGTCATTTGCTAAAGACAAACGAAGTTTGTTTTCGTCCGTCATGGTTTTGAGATCAGTTTGTTTGCTATTGGGAATGTTCTTTACAGTAGTGGCAGGAGATGTAGGCGAATTTACTAATGGTTTGTTTGGTACATGTACTGATGACACAGTTATCACATTGGGTGCCCGGACACCATTTAACAATGTGGGCTTACTAAGTTTCAAACTCTTGACCACATCTGATGAGGCGTATGAATGTTCAACATTTGAACTGACTATTCCAGCATCCCCTTTCCCATCCATCTTAACAGGTTTGGTACACTCCAGCAACCCTTTAATAGACAAATCTGGGTGCTTAAATGAACGTTCACAACTTTCATCACCACTTCTCACATCTCCAACGATTCCATTTCTTCCGAGATTTCCAATAAGGGCAGACGTCACATCATTCTTCAGTTTGGAAATCATGCTGTTGACATCCCCACTGACAAGCTCGTGAGGCTGGGCCTCAGTCTTGCAGGTCACTTGTGCAGGGCTGCTGGAAGCTGAAGACTTCCTCTTGCTGCAGTGTTTCGGAGACAGAGCTTTAGGTGTTGGTGCTGGAGTATCTGGGAGGAAGGACTTGTTGTCAGCAAAGGCATTCATCGCCTCCAACTTCTTCACCTCTTCCTCCAACTTCATCACTTGACTGACCAGCTGTCTCTTGCGGGAATAGAATGCTGTAACTTCCTTCCACAAATAGTCCTGCGTGTACACAGGTTGGAGGAAACCATTCTGCAACAACAACACAATCAATACTATATGCCTCACACTTTTAAGTGACTGTGTTGGATTAACAATACTTCGAACAGTATTTTGATTTATTTTCTTTCAGACATAAGACACTGATCTCATACATATCAAGCACCTCAGTGAATATTCAACAGGCCCCACCCCCAGAAAAAAGATCATCGGTGGAAATCTGGAATTTGAATAGCAGATCCTGGCCCAGCTAAGCAGTTTAGAATTAATAATTTGAATAATGGAAGTTGTACATATAGAGCATACAAATTATTCTGTGAACTGTCAGCCATGACTGTGTTCCAAATTATGGTTCAAATCAAAATATTCTGCTTGCCTCTTAAACAAGCATGTAGTACAGTAACCTTGTTTGCTGCGGGCCTTTCACTGATTAAGTACACAAGCATGTCTTGTGAGTTTACTACTACTATCTTCATCACTATCTTTCCTGTCCTATACCTCTGAAGACAGGAAACACAATGTGATGGAGACTGCAGAAGATGGTTAAACCGATGAGCTTACCGATCAAGGACTAAACAAATAGAAATTTAGAGATTCAAACCCATGACAAACAGAAGCAGGCAGTTACGAGAGGTATCACAGCTTTTCAAGTGCATGTATAATGACTGCTGCAGAATTATAGTGAGTGAGCTTAGTTTATCAATATTCCAGCAATATCACAACAGGGGAAACCAGAAATGGACTTCACACATTGTAGCCATGTGGAGAATCGAACGCAGGTCTTCGGCGTGACAAGAGAACACTTTAACCACTAGGCTAACTAACCACCCCTGCAGAATCATAAACACAGCTAAGTTCATACTACACCTACCTTTCTTGTATTGTCATGACCAATACCATTCTTTTCGGCTAGTGTCTGTGCATTCATCTGTGGACATTATTTAAAGCTCATTATAATTTAGTCTCTCATATTTACAAAATAATCTTTCGTTGTATGAATTAATAAGGAATTACAAGTCAAGAACTGACCAATGAAAATTATTTTGGCTTAATAACATATTTCAGAAATTCATTAATACAATTGTAAACATGTAATATTCAATTATCAACAGTGATGAATAATATCAATAATCACAAGATATGGAATTCACAACACATCAGAAATCTGTACAGACATTTTGGCTGAGTTATGCAAGACATAACACAGGCAATTCTGCAACAACTAAGTTGTGTTTTCAAGGTTCTTGTGTCCATGATACACATTCTCACAGTCATGCTTGATGAAACCAGAACCACTGACATGAATGATGAAGTACAACACATATAAGACAGTAAACTCCTCTGTATTTCATGCAGAGACAATGAAACCAACGAGCACAGATTCACAGTAAACCAAACATGTGCATGACTATACCAACATCTCTACAAAAGACCCTCCAAACAACCCCTCCCTGAACCAAAGTAAATGCAAAGCTCTTCACTTTAACACTGTTTGGTTTCAAATGTGCATGTCAACACAACAATCTGCCAAAGCAACGGAAAGTTAAAGATGATTAGGGTGAACGCATAACTGTTCATGTCTTATGTTAATTTACATGCACTTTTGTTAAAACAGGTATCTACTCGTGATGGACCTCTGAATAATCATTAATGAAACATGAATGAGATGCATTCTTCTAAGACAATTTCACAACATGCAGTTTTCAACAAGGGTACCCAAGTCTTGATCCAGCAGTTAGTCAGGAATTAAATGAACACAAATATATGAAATTGGTGCACTTTTCCCAAACATTTATCAACAAGCTCTTGTGCTGCTTGAAATTGCACATCACAACTGTAGATCTTGATTTGACTGAAATATTTGTGGGAATTTTGTTCAAGTATTAATACAAGACAAACCTTTGTTTCTGGATCTTAATACTAACTGACTGAGTTTGGTCTTACACCGCTTTTAGCAATATTCCAGCAACATCATGGCCGGGGACACCAGAAATGTGGATTTTAATAAAACCAGCAAGTGTGTATATTTTATATGTAGATGGAAAAACAATTTTCCATCATTACAAATAAAGGAATAGATTATCACATTAAACCTAATGTGACTTCAGTAGTTCCACAAGTTCCAACCAACCCCTCCCCACACCAAAAGCTCTTCATACCCCTCTCTGCATACCCTAAGACTGGGCAAAGGAGCCCATCTACTTTCTAGTCTGGCATTATCACAACTATTTCAGTCCACTAATGCCTCTATGAGAAAAACACTGATTCTTCAAAAAGGCACGTAACACTGTTCAAACCACTCCAAAGACCAATTTTCCTCAGCCAAATTCCTGCGTCTAACTCCATGCACATAGAACCAGGAAGATATAATCCACATTGATACCTGTATTTACAAAAGAATACTTCCTAACTCAAATACCAATTAGGGAGGCCCTAGATTTAGACTTCAATATTTAATTTTTAGAACTGCAAAACACTTCTTAAACGATTTAATTGTTTAGAGAATTTTTAAAAATACATTCTCTTCGGGAAAATCAACATGATCAAACCTGTACAGACCAGTGAGAGCTAAGGACATGCTTTTCACAGCTTCAAATTTTTCTCAAAAGTCTTGTTAAACTGGCCGTTTAACAGAAGCCAATTGGTAAAGTTAAAACACCAAGTGAAGGATCAATGTTGCTGCTGTTGCAGCACCTACACAACCACAGCACAACTGCAACAACTTCGGTAGCAACAGCAGACCATGCAAACAAAGACAGCAGCGGCAACAGCTAGCGGCTGTGGCGGGTGGGCGACAATGACATGATGAACCCTTGAGTACAGAGGAGCAGGGTGCCGAGTAACGGCAGAGATCCCTCACCAACTTCTGTTGCTCTGTCTCGAGGTTTCTGATCTGTGTGGACAATGTACTAGCCTGCTTCTCCAGCTCTTTGTGCTCATGGACGATTGTCTTCGCCTGCGACAGGAAGTCGTCAGGGTTGCTTGCATCAATTCCCAGCTGAAAAATCCAATCATACTGCTTATTGTTATGAAACGAAGGGGATATTGCAATGTCAAAGTTGAGATGTAACTAATGTCATCGATAGTGAGTGAGTTTAGTTTTACGCCGCTTTTAGCAATATTCCAGCAATACCATGGCGGGGGACACCACAAATGGGCTTCACACATTGTACCCATGTGGGGAATTGAACCTGGGTCTTCGGCGTGACGAGCGAATGCTTTAACCACTAGGTTACCCAACCGCCCCTGTCATCAATAGACTTAGCCAGAATAAGTAATCAAAATCAGAACACGTCCATGAGCTGGGTTCAATAATGGGCAAATTACATCTGTTAGTTCCATGATTTGACTGGATGATGATTTTCATATGCCAACTCTTGCTAAGCCTGTTATTACATGAAAACAAGTACAACTATCATGCTGAACACATGCATGGCTTTCATTAGAATTAAAAGACAAGTACTTGTTTGTTTGATACATTGTCAGGTCAACATAAACAGAACCTCAATTTTACTCCTACTGTTAAGACATTTTGAAATATGTGAATTTGTACATCTCCTGGGTCTAAAACAAAAGACATAACTTAATCATTTCTTCTTATTTTGTCCACACAATCCTAATGACTCCTCCTGTAGTATCTGTGATAACAATCTAGCTTCCTTCTCCCTATGTAGCCAGTATACTGACAGTGTATCTACCTCATTCAGCCTGGCCTTGAGCACACCCACACTGTCCTTCTGCAGGTTGGTAATTTGCTTCTCAAGCTGGAACATCTTGTTCTGCAGATCCTGCTTCCGTAACTGAAACACCACCATAAAGCCCCTATCATCTTTTGCACACACTGCAGTTGATGGAACTCATCAAATAAACCAGTGATTTGGGAATCAACTTGCATAGATTGGTCCAAACAGTGTTATTGTCTCTGGACATAATCTGTGTTATGTGCACTATGGTACATTTGGTTTTTTTCATCATGTTAAGTTAATTATACTATAATGAAATGTAAGAAGAGGAACAACATGGATGCTGCCATGATCATACAAATCAAATCCATGATAATGAAAAGCACTAAGTGTGATCATTAGATATCTCACATTGTAAAGTCTCTGTGAAGGAAAGCATGTTTCACTCACATTTTCTTTGTCAATCTCCATCTGAACATGCTGCTTATACTGGGGACTCTGCATATACGCCAAGTATGCCATATATTGCTGGCGGAAGATTTCTGAAACACCAAACCAATCAGTATTGGAAGTTATATCTCTTGAATGTTTCACAATACCTTTAACATGAGTAATGGCTATGACATAAAGAAGTATGCTCCGGGAATGTGATTGAAGACTGTCAAGTTGTGGGGTTTTGGTTGGTTTGTTGTCTGATGCCGTACTCAGCAATATTCCAGCTATATGGCAACGGTCTGTAAATAATCGAATCTGGACCAGACAATCCAATGATCATGAGCATCAATCATCATATGCCTGCATAACACAGTGACAATTTTCAATCCACTGCAAAGGTTACTACAAACTGCTCACGTGGGAAATCAAACCAAGATCATTTTTGAACAACGTATCAAACACAGAACCCATCCCATCACCCTTACATGCCTTGTTGCTAGATGAACTCTCACCTAGTAACTGCTGCAGAGCAGGTGGTGTTTCTAGAGATGAAACCGTCTGGTTCTGTGTAGTAAGCTTGAACACAGAGCTGGAATGATCTGTCATGCTGCGGTCATTGTAGGTCACATCGTCCGTACCTAAACAGAGAGAAAATAGATTAGATTTGGGACACATACATACAGGTGTAACTAGACTGATGACTCACACAGCAAACGTCACCCACTTGACAGAATACCATAATTAGCATGCTTTAAGTCCCATTTCCTCACAGTACCATGCAGAAATACACTGACATTTGTTGTAAAGAATATGAGTATGATTTCAAATCTCAATGCTACTGAAACTGAACTTACATCATATATATGATTCAGGATTTGATTGATGGTTAACGTTGTGCAATCACATAACCACAGTCCTGAGACATACCGTATTCGACCCAATAAGATCCTCACTCAAATGAATTCTGATTTTGTGTGATTTTGGTACTCAGTCACCCTTTTCTAGTCAACATGCTCTCTTCAAAACATTGTCATGTAATTTCATCAATGAATACTTACAATTTAAGTAGTTAACTATTTCATGAAACTGCACATTATGCCACAATTGTTACTGAACATCGAATACCGTGGATACCTTGCATGGTCATCAAACAGTAGAGATAAGGAATGTTTAGTTTTGCCAGTATGGATTGATGCAAAATAATCAACCCTCGAAACTTGCAGCTTAACGAGCACCTGGAACGCTTATTGAATCGAATACAACCAAGCCATCATGCTGCATTTCCATCTACAGACATATATCCCTTCTGATAACTGAACCAGTGAAACACGGAAATGTCAGTACAATGGAGTATATTCCAGGGTTTGATTTAAGAGAGGTTAACCTACTTGCACTCGGTGCAACCTAAGATAAAAACCTAGTTGCACCAGCCAAATTCCAGTTGCAACGTAGTGTGTTTAAAACGTCAGAGGTTTCGAAGCACAAAAACACATTTCCGTGATGTAGTACCTATGAAACCATAGCAACACAGAGACACAGCTGATCCCTGTTTACAAGCGCTGTCATAGCCGAAGCATGTATATGAGTAGCAATATTTCAGTATCATAGCTATTCAAAGTTTAGAAGAAAAATGAGCTGACATATTTATGCTCATAATGTTAGATTTATTGTTGATTTATTTCTAAAATATTGATGTGCACCTTTTGCAAGTTAAGACTCATACCTAGGTTGCACTTTGTAATATTGCGTTGCACATGTGCAAGTAACAAAGCACTAAATCAAGCCCTGTATTCTCTTCCTTGCCCTCAACATTGTCCCTGTTCATGTACAAAAACTACCCGAGATGCACAAACCATTGCACACCAACAACACACACAGGAATTCATCAGACACCAAATGACCCCCCCAAAACCAGATGCATATACGTGTGACCCAAACTCTGATGGTTCCAGTGCACCCTTACAACACCTACTACAACAACGACAGGTGAGATATACTGCTTCCATCTACCTTTTCCCGATGTTGACAGTAGAGTGTGTGTATGCAAGAGGCTGAGTCCATCCAGAGCCAAAGCTTTATTTTTGTTGCGAAGTTTAGATGCTTTAGTTGTGGGGCTAACTATTTTCCTTCGAGCTGAAACAAGGGAAACGACAGCCATTACCATCTTGACTATAGGTCTAAACATGGCACATTGGCTACGGGGATGCTGTCACCAAATGTTGTTGCAGGAGATTCAAAGGGGTTCTTTGGGTAATTCAGTTTTCAATTATTTGGGGACTCATGGGTTGTTACAGCAGTTATTTATTAAAACAGAAACATTTTCAATGGCACTACCATTATAAGACAAACACTGTGTCAGTGTTAGTATCTTTTCAGAAGGAAATTTTTCAATTTTATTCCCCAAAAAACCCACACCAAGTGGCATTCATTTTTTCATGACTGATCACGTTATACATAGGTATATAAATAAAACAAATTTCTCACAAAACAGTCCTGAATAATTTCCCACCACCAAGATCGAAAGAGAAATAGACACTTTCAAATCTGCACATATTCTGCAAAGTTTAATTCTTACAGGAGGGTCCTGATGGGGCATACTGCTGAGCATAAAACAACTGAAAAAACTATCATGAATGCTGTATGAGTCTAATTTCAAAATGTCAATAAACTACTGATACTTTACCCTTTCCTGTAATTTTTATGAATCTCTTATATGACTAAACACAATTATATTTGGTACTAGCAAACCACTGATTGCAGCAATGAAGCAAAAGCAGAACCAGCTGCTTCGATGTTTCCCCAGAGACAATACTTACACTCCATGGAGATATTCCACATTACAGATTCAACTTGACACTTGTCCTCTATTCACATCATGTGTTTTTTTTTCTAACTGAGCCGAAAAAATATTGTCTATTGAGTAAAGGCCCTAAATTTGACTTACTAATGACTTGTAACACCTCCCATCAAGACCCTCTTACAATGACACATGAATACACCAAATGAGTCCCTACACTCTATATGGTAGGGTTCCTAGTGACTCTCATTTCAGCCCATCCCTCAGTCCCCTCTGATAGATGAGAAGAGAGGAACTAAAGAGAGACAGCAAGTGAGACTGTGTAGGGTGTGTCATCTACACAGTTCACAACATCAGGTGTACAGCTAGGTGCTAGATACAAGACACACATACCTTTCCTGTCTCGTCTCTTCTTCTTCTGCAGAACTCCATTCTTCAGGTGCTTCACCTGCTTCTTCCTCTTCTCCTTATCCACCTCTTCTCTTAGCTCCATGTTCAGCTAAAACATGGGAATAACACATTAACACCAGTCTGCTACAGCCTCTAACCCTTAACACAAAGCCTGTAAGCTGTCTTCTGATCTATTAAAATTAGATTGTACTTGTGAGTGAATATTGTTTATGCCGCATCAGCAATTTTGCGGCTATTCACAGAGAGGATTTTACTTGTACACAACTGCTAATTCAAAATGACTCAGCCCTGATCTACATACATAAACCTCAATGAATACAAATGGCTAACCTCATCATTATCCTGTTCAATACTGGATGTTGGGGATTTGGGTCTAGCAGCCACCCACTCAGCCCAGCCCCGGCGGCGTGTTGTAGGACCATACAGGCTACTATCGTCGGTGGTGGCATTGCTGGTGTTGCTGGCAGAGTCAAAGTCGATGATCTTAGCAGCTTGATAGTTATGATCATCATGTTCTCGACGTCGCTTTTTGTTCTTCTGATCCTCCTGCGAGAGAATTAGAATTATTATAACAAACATACATGTCTTTTTCTAATTCTGTGGATCAAATCCTCAGACATTTAGTAGTGGACACAGTAAACATCACACCAATCTTACATGTAAGTTCATGATCACACGAAATATGCTACAAGGTCATGAACAGAAATATAAGATGCCTGAAAAAAATGTCCAAGCTTTACAACTTTTTTAAATGCCAGAATACTGGTAGAAATGTTTGCTTTTTACTCAAGTCTTAAGACAGTAACATCCTTACATTTTCAACTAGATTGACTTTATCTTTAAAGGTAATAGGTCTTCCACGTCTATCCTTTCTGATTTCTGCATTTTCCTGACAAGAAAAAAATATAATAAAAATAACCCATTATGCTCTGTTAATGGAAATAAATTAAAATGAATTTCGTGTCTTCCAGGATAAATTATAATTTACAGAGTCAACCCACTACGGACCATCACACTAATATGAATAGTAAGGAAGGTCACCTCTCTATATAGTTTGATGGTCATAAGGTTAAATATTTGTAAGAAAAACACAAATAACCATTTGAAACACAAAGCAAAATGATTATCATTCAGTGACAGGGTGGTGCCCTCTTTTAGTGGTACTGCAGCAACAGCAGGACCATAGCAACAAGGCATCCCATAATGTGTGCAACAAAATACAGTCACATTACGGTACCTCGCTGATCGCTTAACATACAGGGTTAAAGTGATGTTTGCCTAATGCCTATGCCTGTTTTCTTACCTTCATTTTGGGATTTTTCAACCTGAGGAAATATTTCTCTAACTGTAAGAAAAGAAACATAAAACAGTCAGTGGTTGTATAAGCAGTCAAACTCAAGTTACACAACACAAAGCCTTTAAATAGCCAGAAAAAAGCTTAAATGTAAGTAGAGGATAGGGCTTAACAAATACAGTTATGATGAGATCTAGAAAGTTTCAATATGGTATATTTTCAAATAAAAAACTTGTCACTCTTGATCCATGGCAGAGAAGTTCATACATATCAATTCAGAGAATCAAGGAAACTCAGCATAAATAATTTGTCCTTATCCTGACAACTGACATACAGTATTGTCATGGGTATCCCAGCAGACAGTGGTAGAACATAAACCAAAGTCAATATATTTGCAATTTAAGCAACTTATAGAAACAACAATTTGAACATGTATATCTTTAAACACAAGTAAAACTAAATAGAAAGATGTTAGTTTATACACTGGCTTTTGAAATTTAGCTGAACAACAAATATAACAAAAAACATTTTCTCTGCAATTAGTGACACTTGTTCAACAGTGTACACATTATGACAGAGGGACAGGACTACAAACACTGATGTATATATTTATATGTATATTCAGTTCAAGGAAAGTGTAGATAGACATTGATACATCGAGTCAACTGTTTCAGGCACAGCATCTTCCTCCTCCCCTCCATACAGTAATAGGGGGAACCTCAGCAACACACTATTAGCTCTACAATGTTGGGGGGAGAAGGGCAACTTACAGTATAACATAATTTGATTACTCAGTGCAAACGTATCTGCAGGTCAAGCAGGAATAGTAGTTAAGCCTTGAAGGTGATAAGCTAGGATAGTGATAACTCTAGAAATCTCCCTGTAAACATTGGCCAACTTGTCCAGAAGGAACTTGAATATTAAACATTGAATGGATCCCAGGGCCCACCTGCACAAATATAATTCTGATGGAGGTTGCTTGGGGAACAACAGCCTCAGATGTAATATGCTTGGTGCAAGTTGTAAATTGTCTAAAATCCATCCCTTGCCAATGAAAAACATTGATATAGAGGTAACATACATACAAGGTGACATGAATGACCGTGTAATATTTTGTGATTTCTCTATGGTAAATGACACCCCTTCCACTGACAAACTGAAACATGGAAGAGAGTGCCGACACCAATGCTATACATAACACCTAGATGCCTATGAGCGTTGTCCCAGCCTGCATGGCCTACAATGTCAGTAGCGGCCGAGTTACTCACCAACGTTCTATCTATTGTGTGAACATAGTAGGTAAATGGTTTGCCGGTCCAGGATACGGCACCACATAGTGGGGACAGCTCCGTTACATGCATGATTGTCCCAATATCTGCAATGGCAGAAAGCAGTTTAACATCATGGTCCTACCCTCCCCACCTACAATGGCAACCGCCTGTTCTGGTCTCTGGGAACACATAGCTAAACCATTTCAACAGCCTTCTCCAATACACATCCTGTTTATTTCAAATCCATAATTCCTTTTCTGAAGATGTCAAGTTTGGTGCCTTAACAGACACAATTCAACACTGTCTCATTTGCATCTACTTCATGTGTAAATTGAGATGAAGAAAACAAATCTGACATAAACAGACGACAATCAGACAGGCTGACATAATTTGATCAATTTTTATGTTAATCATCTACAGAAAATACATGGATGAAACATATTGGAAATCAGCTGTGAAATCAAAAGCCATATGTATTTGGAGACCTTCAAGGCAGCACCAACCTTAAAGTGCCTAGATTGAAGATGATGACATGCAGCTGGCATGCAGGGCTGATGAACTGGGACAAACAGAAGGTTAGCCAAGAAAACACCACTCACACACTCCACAACATGGCTCCCTAAACAAAGGGGAGGTAACTATGCCTGGCTTATGGAAGGGCAGGCAACTCCGGGCAACTCACCAGACTTCTATCTAGAGTATGTAGATAGTAGGTGACTGGTTTGCCTGTCCAAGACACTGCACCTCGTAATGGGGACAGCACAGTAACATGCATAATTGAGGCTATATCTGGAAAAGTTAATGGATCAAGGCAAAAGATTAAAACAAAAGTGACCTACATCTGCCTTGCATTTAATAAAGTTTCTTTCATTTTGTGCTGTACTCAAAAGATGAGGAAAGTGTCTAAAATTCTGTTTTAAATCATTCAATACTTCTGAAAAAATCAGATCTTTACAAATTTTTTCAACTCAATGTCAAAAAGACACTACATAATTCCTTTTTTTTCCTGAAAATATAATGGGAATTGACCATACTAAGAATTCAAGTATATTAGTAATCCTTACAAAGAAGCATTTTGAGTTCTTGCATAACATACCAAATTTAGTTTTAAGAGTGAAAAGGGTGTGTTATCCATAATCAAATCTACTGAAAATGACAGTAAATTTTGTAAGGTACAGGCATGTGTAGAGGTACAGGCCAATGGCTAAAGAGAGCAGTAGAAATGAAATGAGGATGAATGATGTTTATTCCATGGGTGAAGATGCCTCAGAATTGACATGATGATGGCAGAAAGAAAAGTTCCATCTACAGGTTTTCATATACATCTAAAAAGCAGAAGACATCTGACACTTGACAGATTTTCACCTTTCCAAAATGCAGATCAACATGTACGAAAACCTTAACAGCAAAGAATTAAAATATAGAACAGAAAGAAGTAACCTGATCCTGTGTCCAAATTTGATAGAAATGTACTTTGTGACAGACAGAATGAAATACAGTCAAAATCTTAATAATACTCTGTCTCCTAGCAACTAAAATGTATAAAATTTCATGCAACAAACTATTTTGAATTGTGTCCTTAGCAGTAACTAAATGTACATCCATTTACAAATTTAGATAAAGCAAGTGCTTTTAAGATAGTTTAACTTCAAGAACTTAATAACGTGAGTTAAATGATTGTGACAAATGAATTTGTTCCATTCTACTAATGCAGACAAATTTATTTCTAATGCATGCAAAACAAATAGATCATTAACACTGCTTTTTACAACCTAAAACACACACAGCATGCACATAAAAAATGTCTATAAGATCAAACTAAAATAAATAACAGTATTTCATAATAATGAGGTCCAATCAACGAGTTACAACAAAATGTTCTTTAAACTAAGAGAGTAGTACTCATTAACACAAATCATATTTATTCAGTTGACTTTGTAATTTTAGAATGGTGTGAAAAACATTGATATAATAAGCTGATTAATCAAAACAACCTGAAAAATGTATTTCATGAAACATTTGACTCAGAATTAGTTTATCCAAAATTAGCCATGAATCATACTTATTTGTAAATCACAAAGAAAAACTTACCACTGAGATTTCTGTCTGTGATTCTGAAGTTGAGCGGACAGAATGCTTTGGATGACACAATTTTAGCACCTTCTTTCATGTTGGAAAATCTGAGTTTCAGCTGCAACACAAATACAAGATTAGAATTAGATTCAGCAAATCATAATATAATCTGTTAACTTCAGAAAATTGTAATGATCAAATAAAAGAATCCTGAACATCTGGTTCTCTTCAGAATCATTTGTAAGGGGTAGGTATTTTGCTTTCTGTTTGAGTAGGTACTTTTTCATTGCAATGTTCAGCATTAGTCCAGCAATATCCTGGCAGCGGTCACAAGAAGTAGCCCTCACACATTATACCGAAGTAAAGAATGGAACCAGGGCTTTCAACTTAAAAAAAGTTATCTGGGTGTCAAAATACATTAAGATGAAACATACTTTTATTTGTGATAAAAAGATGGCAAACATCAAACTTTATTCGTAAATGAGTTTATCTTCAAATGGGTCAAGACATACCTGATGATCTACCTGAGGTCCAAAGGCAAAGTTGTTAACAAATATCACACTGAAAAAGTGAAAAAAAGAATCTTCTTAGCATACACTTTAAAGAGAATAATGAGTATGTTTTTTACGTCGCTTTTAGCAATATTACAGCGATATAACGACAGGTGCCATGAGACATGGGCTACATAAATTGTCACTACATGCGGAATCAAACTTTGGCTACCACAAGGCTACGTAACTTTGAAAAAAACACATGAAAACCTTAGAATTAATGTTGTCAATAATAAGAGACAGAAATTAGAATACTTACGTTGCATTATTTAGTCTATCTTTCATCTCCTCACATAGAAAATCTCCCTTTTCCAACTGCAAGAACCAACAGTATATTAATATCAAGCACTGTGACAGTAAAAGATAATTTAACAAAAATATAGTTAAAAAACATCTGATTCTTTCATAGGACAACTGTTAATCTGTCATGCCGTGAGAGATAAATTACACTAACAGGAAAAATAAGATGTTAACTTTGTCCATTTAACAATCCAAGGGTATTCTTATATTCTCTTTAGTTGTACACTTTGCTGTAAGCTTTCACCAAAAACATGCATTCAGTCTTTGGAAAAGGTTTCAGGTCTCCTGGCTTGAACTAGGCTCTCAGCATCTTATTTTGTACATTTCAGCGTTATCATAAGAACTATTATTAGCAGAGATTACTAGATTAAACAAACAGTTACTATATTCAAGCTTCAGACAAGTGACTAACAATAGAAATTGTGTATTTCAAGTTCCTGCAAAACAGCAAATACTGAACACATCAAGGAGTTACTTTTTAAGACTCTCACCTTATAGTCACTGTATTTCTTCCCATACCATCTTGTCCACTTCCGGAACTCTCTATCCATAGCCTGAAGTTACAACAGTTAACAGTTAAATGTGACTTAGCACCAACTATCAGTGCTAAAAGTGTTTCTAGTAGTTTTAACTTACAGAAATAATATGCAAAAGTCCATGTTTTTAAAAACATCTTATTTCTAATGAAGTCCCTTCAATAATGTACCATAAATATAGTATACTTGTTTGTATACTTCTTTTTGTATTGGTTGGTTTCTTATTAATATTTTATTTACAATTTACCTGAAATAACACCTGACCAACATGATTTTAACCTTCCATATCATAGACATACATGTAGGAGAGGGTGTGTAATGGTGGTTACTGTAGCTTACTGGTTGATCGCAATTATCTTGGCACCATAATTTAAAACTGCAATCGAGTCTAGACCAGATAATCCAGTGATCAACAGCATGAGCATCGCTCTAAGTAATTGGGATACAATGACATGTCAACCAAGTCAGCGAGTCTGACCATCCGATCTCGTTAGTCGCCTCTTACAACTAGCATAGGCTACTGAAGGTCAATTCAAACCCGAATCTTCACTGCTTTACATGAAATAACAACTGATTAACAGAATATTAACCTTCCATATGTTAGAACTATATGTAAGAGATTGTGTATAATGGTGGTTACTGTAGCTTACTGTTGATTGCAATTATCTTGGCACCATAATTTAAAACGGCAAATTATGAGTCAAACTCAACACTTCAAATTAGTCGGGACAACACAATGAGTCTACATCATATCACTACAGTAATTTCAGTAGACACCATATAACATATAGTTTTAGCTTGGATGCCATACCCCTTGATAAAAGGCTGGCCACTCCGCCTTCTCCATGCCATAACACATCTTGCAGGGGGTAGCTGACGCCACCTGCAGCACCACTTGTCCCACACCTGCAACCAAACATAGATGTATGTGCCATCAGTTTACACAGGTAACAATATACTAAATTAATCCCTAATCTTTCAAACTATTGATACATATAGATATCTATACACAACAAAAAATAACTAGGGATCATTAATATTCAGGGGACTTTTTCCTCATGGAGAAGACACAATTTCATAAAAATACTCCCCCCAATGATCATGAACTTTTTCTGTTCAGTCTATGAAAGATTCAGCATCAAACTTAATGACATGTTTGTCTCTGACTAGTGTTGGCAAGTTAACAGAATTAATTATTGATCATACATCACAATCATGTATGTTCAATCCAATCAATCATCACTAATATTAATAATAAGTTTAAAAAACCTCTTCCTGTATATGCCAAAGACTGTGTTTTTCCAAACTATAATTTGAAATAAAAGAACTTTATTCCATAAATGAATGTGACTGCAATTGGATGATGAATGTGTTGATGTGAAATTATTATACGATCAAAGGAATGATTGAATATTTGTAATAAAGAAACTGATATCAGGTAGCAGTTTTTTTCAACAACAGTTCATTAAGGATTGTGAACAGTCAGTCATTACCATGTAACAGAATCTGCAAAATTGCTAAAAACCTCGCGTGCATGAGGACCTGCCAATCTTATCCCAATGGCAAAGCTGTACACATTTGGAACACCTTCAAGAATACTCACCACTGCCAAGGTCTATGAAGCTGTCCTCTTCTGTGAAATTGATGGAACGAATCATTTGGTCCACAAGTTCAAAGGATGTTTCACCATAGACCTGATGGCAAAATGTTCAATAAAATGAGATATGTTGCCTTCAGCATACATCATAACTAGAACACCCATATCACCCTGAATAAGAAGTATGTGTAAGAGTATTTTGTCATAAGAGATCATGGTTTTCCATATTTGTCATGATCCAGGGTTTCAGCATCTGGAAGGGATATGATCCAGACTGAAGGGTGACATTTGCATAAACTGGCAAGTGATCATCTCTACATGATCTTCCGAAGTTAAGCATCACAAGTACAACTCAAAAGTAGTTATCTCAGCAACCATGCCTTTCACATTTCCCATCTACAAACCCTCTGGACGTTCAAGGCTTAAATCATCCAGGAGTAACACACTCTTATCAGAAGAGCTGATTCAAATCGGTATCAATGTGTTGGAGTATGTGACCCTGCTAAATGTTATTGCAACACAGTTGCTCATGCTTTCAACCCCTAGTTATGCATCAAGAAATAGCGATTCTGCTAATTCCTAAAAAAACATATCATTTGATTAAACAGACAAACAGCGTAGACCTATAATTACCTCAGGTGAGAATGGTTCATACTGGTTGAGCTTCTCGGGGTCTGTGACAGCATGGTTGTAGCACTGCTGGAGAATGTGTTTCAGCAAGGTGGTGGAGGGACGCTTGTTTAACTGGTATGTGTGGGCTGTTCCTTTCCACTGGTAATGAACAAAACATATGCTGAAGGCGGTCATACAAACAAGAACTACACTACAAGGCCTATATCATGTCTTCTATTGAAAATGATAATTATTAAAACCTTCCAGGGTGGAGAAATAACGCATCTCAAATCAGCCAATAGTTTTGATGAGATGAGGTGAAATGGGTTTCATGCCGTACCTAAGAATATTTCTCTCATATGATGACGTGCATAAGTGTGTATGTGTGGCTGCTTGTACTAGCCTAAACTTAAGCTGGTTTTATAGTGCCAGCTCACTGAGATACCATGCCGCAGTTAAGCATGAATACCCAACTCGGACACATTATACTGACTCCGAGCCGACCAGTCCTTGTTGTACCCATTAATGTCGAGCGCCAGGCAGGGACCAACAAGTACCATATGTTAATGTCTTTTGGTATGACGCAGTCGGGAATCAAACCCGCGACCTTCCGCTCTCCAGGCGGACACTCTAACCACTACACCATAGAGGCGGTTTAGTTTTGATGAATCTTTGTGGGAAGTCAATTAATTTTACAAATGTTCATTTACAAATCACTTCACAATGCCATTTTAGAAAGTGGTCAAATGTAAAATCACTTCACCATCAACGCCACACTTTGCTATATTCAAACAAAACAAACAAATCCATTAGGCCAGAGCAATTTTATTTCTTGTTTTACGGATCTGCTGATAGTTTAGTATTTAAAAGAAATATTACTTTGACGGGTGATTTCCACACACCCCACCCCCCCTTCTAGGTTTTCCGAGGACAAACATCCATAAAACAAGAAATAAAACTGGTCTGGCCTTAGAATACTGCATCCAACGTATATATAATGAAGTGTTCTTCATAAGTGATTGTTGACTCACCAGCTGAAGCGCATCGTCTAGGTTGTTGTTGTATATGTCGCACAAACGCTTCAAACTTTCGTAGCTGAAACGAAAATGACCCACATGAAAACTTTTATGCATTCATTCTGCTTCATGTTCTGCTGTTTCGGTGTTCACAAACCAGTCTCACAAAATGTGAAAAGCAGGCAGTGACAGATAAATATGTCTTTCACAAGCAATACAAAATGTCAGCTTGCAAATAAAATTATCCAACTTCATAGAATCATCAGACTGTGAACCTCAGTTGTAGGGAAGAAAGCTGCATCACACTATCACCCGCCTATCGCTAGGATGGGCTAATTGTGAAACAGAATGCCTACACAGTCAGAAAGCCTACTTAATTCAAGTTTTAATATTTTCAAACTGACATCCAGGAATGGAACATGCATGCAGAATATAAATGATAAATGAAAACATCATTGTGTCAAACAGCATGATGATGTTCATAACATTATTGCTGTTTCATTTTAACTGAATTACCATGACTAAATGATGATGTTCTGTAGAAATGAAATGACTCAGGATTGACACTTTTTTTACTGGACACAACATCATGATGAGTGTAAACAGAAGCTCATTCATCAATGTCAGATGACAGGGACAGTGGGAGCACTTGGACATTGTAATGTGTGCTGTTGGTGATGTAAGAACTGATTCATGACAAGATGATGTAACCTATTGTAAATGCACGCTGTGATTCAGCATGAATAATGTTTCTCCCTGGTACTAGAGAATGTCTGTCCAACATTACAAGTGAGTGAGTATGGTTTTACGCGGGCTTTTAGCAATATTCCAGCTAAATAACAGCAGGGGACACCAGAAATGGGCTTCACACATTGTACCCATGTGGGGAATCGAACCCAGGTCTTCGGCGTGACGGTCGAACGCTTTAACCACTAGGCTACCCCACCGCCCCCATCATTACAAGTGGTCAAGAGAGATAGGTCATAGCTGTTGTGATCAGATCATCACTGTAATAATGCTCAATATAATCAGTCATTATGAAAATTGGATCTTACATCATCATTATATTTTTTCTCATAAATACTTTTATTTCAGACCCTGGTTATTCAATTTTCACATGTTTCATATTTTTCGATAAACTGATACTTTAAAGATCTTTCTCTCTTCACTCTGACCTCTGCCATGTTATGTCTGCTGTATTGCTTAATGAGAATCAAAACCTCACTAAACACCAGTCTCCATTCAAATTCTCATTTCCTTAAAAAAAATGAGCAATAATAACGAGGCAAAAATCATAGGAATCCATTACTCATTTCTATAATTACTACCCAGCTGATGAACTCCTGCGTGACTTCAGTTTGTCATCACTAGGAGACAGTTTCAGGGTAATCAGGCACAGCCCGGAATCTGAACGAATGACCAGCTATCATTAATAATCCAGGGTTGACCTCAATCACCAAGAAACTGTGACAACAGGAGTGTCCCTCCGAGACCAATGCTGACCTCACATCCCGCAACTGAGCATGTCTGTGATGCCATCATTGACCGAGGAGCCGCCAACCCAGATCAGGCTCCGATATCGGCTCTGTATTGATTTGTAACTCTAATCAGCTGGTGCGACTGTCACTTGGTCCAAGTTGACGCAATCTTACGCTGGCGAGCAACATTGAGCCATGCCATCGTCGGACTGACGTCAGAACTAAATCATGTTTTATATGGGCATGAGCTTGTTCTGATGGAGAATATCATGATAACAGGCACCTTGAAGAACCTAAGCTACGTTTCCTAAACATGTTGTTTTGCACTTTGTCCAGGAGGGATGATGGTAAGCCTACGTAAGATCCCTGAAGATGTTTGTGCCATTATTGCAAGATCAACACATATTACAATTAATTGTTTACCAAGACACTGATGTCATTATATCAATCTGCCAATTATGCTAAAACCTAATAAAAAATGTCTCTTATGAAAACGTTTGATCTTATTTGGGTTGGAAAACATATTTTACAAGTCATTAAATAAAAAGGAAAGTCTAAATTTTTAAAAAAGCTTAATCAGGAACAATGTCAAGTATTTTCAAAACATGTCACCATGATAACTTGCCAAACATACACACAGACATATTTGTCAACAGGGATTGAATTTGAAGTGATCAGGCTTGAAGATGCCCTTCAACACTAAGATTAAAACCAGTGATAAACGACCAATTTGACAAACGTGATGTTCTGTTAGTGGGCAACAAATATATATTATATGGTGTTGAAACATATGCCAGCAGAAACGGAATATTAAAGACATCTGTTCCCACTAAATCTGAGAAAGACTAAATACAGAAATACTGACACACTCTGACTATTGGTTGTTAAATGTCAATGTGACCAAGCTGGTCACAACATGTCACTATCTATTGTCAGAAAGGTGAGTGAGTGAGTGAGTATGGTTTTACGCCGCTTTTAGCAATATTCCAGCAATATCACAGTGGGGGACACCAGAAATGGGCTTCACACATTGTACCCTTGTCAGAAAGGGGCAACTGTGTCTCTAACCTTTAAATAGGCGGTCTGCTAAATAATTTTACGTCATTACACGTATGAAGTAATTGTTTCGGAGTGTGATGAGGAAAAAAATGGATTGTTACATACACATAGCTACTCCGAAAGCTTGGATTGACATGACATAATTTCTTTTAATACTATTTTTATATCTTGTAAAATATCTTTTTTAAATTCACTTCCTGTTTTCTGTCAATAAATACAATCACAAACGTGACAATCTATAATTAATAGCTGGAAACTACCAGGAAGAAACTGGCATTAATCACTAACACCCAAAACTGCTGACAATGCGCAACACTGCAAATGTTATCTTATTTCAACGTCACTGCTAGACAAAGTAACCACAGGAATTCATTATCAAGATGCATAAATATTTCACCTTCTGACGAGGTTGTTATAATGACTTCAGCTAAAACATTAATGCTCAAATACCATTTGAGATCACTCCACCCTACTCATGGTGAAATACAACATGCTGGAGTAATAGGAAACTGTCCCTGATAAGAGAGTAGAAGAATGTGGTGGTAGGACTTTGTGTCAGATTATACACCACAGGATGAGGCTATCACAAGAGACAGGCTTACATATCAGACTGTACCATTTCCTTCTCTGCAGTGTTGAACATAACAAGCCAATTTATAATTTTTAACACAATATTATTGGACTGTTGTGCATGACTTTGAACTATTTTTTTATGCAATAATAATCAGTTTTTCCAAAGTTTTGAAACAACTGATATATTTGTGTTAGTGTGTATTTTTATGTTGTAAAATATCTCATTCAGGACAACTTCATTATGAAGTCAGTCTGACATCAGCCTGTAAATAATGGTGTATTGACTTACCAAACCATTGAGTTATATTGTGAGTGCGTGAGTTTAGTTTTACGCCACACTCAGCAATATTCAACCTATATGGAAGCGGTGTGTAAATAATAAAGTCTGGACCAGACAATCCAGTGATCAACAGCATGAGCATCGATCTACGTAATTGGGATACAATGACATGAGTCAACCATGTCAAATGACCACCCTATCCCATTAGTCGCCGCTTACGACAAGCATGGGCTGATGAAGATCGATTCTAACCAGGATCTTCACAGGGGAGTGATATTGTGAACAGCACTCCATGCCATCAGGGCATGTTGACACACGTCAACCAAGTCACTAATCTGACCTCATTTAATCTCATTTATTATTTTGCTAATGTACGACAAGCATAGCTTCCTGACCACCTGTTCTGACTCAGATAAAGAATTTGTCTAGCTTTAAAGCAAGTTACTTTTTACAGAGTTTAGTATTAAAATAAAAACAACATATTAATCAATCAATTTTTCATCTCTACAGGTTTTAAACAACAACCTTAAATTGCAGACATTTTTTAGTTACAACAATGATCTTTTGACTTTTATGCTACATTTCAGACACTGAATTCACAGTCATGAGAACAAGGAAATCCTTATAATGGTAACCAGTCCTAGCTTGTGAAGATACAGGTTAGACTTGGTCTTCGGCAACCCATGTCTATGGTATCAGGCAATGAACTAAATCATGTTGTCAGGCTCACTGACTTGGTTGATTTTTGTCATCATATCTTTATTCCTTGCGACATGTATCGGCAAGTTTTTCCGATTGTTTACAGGCAGTCTGAATAGAGTTGGAATATTACTGAGTGAAGTGTTTAACAACAAACTGCTCGTCTAGGTCCCTGTGGCTTTTGAAGCCTTTGTGTAAATGTCTACCAATACAATTGCTGCATGTGATAATGAAACCGTTATGCGTGCACCATAATAACTGCCATTTGCTGTGCAGGGTTAAATACCTACTTAGCTAAGCCATGTCTGCCACAGGCTCTATCCAAATACTGTTTTCACATGGCAAGCAAATCTCTGGTCAAGTTTTAATCCAACTTCTTTGTTCAGTTTATAAACATTCACTCAATGTTTCCATCTTAACTGGTCAGTGTTTGATGACAAGGGGTCATGCAAGGAAGGAGGACCTTTGAATGACCTGTCTAAAACAAGCACTGACCCAAACAATTCAACAGATCTGTCAGCAGACGTTGATCTGAACTCACACAGACGGAGAGGACAACTGAATGCTGAATACTGACAAACAGTAACAATCTGTCAACAAACAATATTGCCAGTGTTCACACTACAAAACAGCTCCAGCATCTCCAGCTGGTCTCTACTTCAACAGACATAGGGGTTATTAGATTTAACTAAATGCAAAATGTGAAGGAATCAATGACACCCATTCTATACAAACATGATCATGGTCAGAATGAAATAGTTGTGCTAAACAATCTCAATGAAACCATTTTCTTGGTCAAAGCCAAAGTGGATTACTGTAATACATAATACCACACTAAAAAAAATGTTCAAAGGTATTTACATGAATGGCATTAAATGAAGTTGGATGAACATTGAAAAACTTGAAACATCTGCAGATCTTAAAGTCTCCACACCAAGACCGGTTGCAATGCTTTAGTATCAAACTTTACTGAAGTACTGAATTCTGGTTGTAATATATGCCTATATTGTGTAAGAAAATGATTATTATTTTTCGTTTCTATCAGTTCTCAGGATACATCATATTTATACCCAACAAGGTGTTTGAGAACATATTTTGCCCCTGAAAAGATTGACAAAGACAAACAAATACCTGTCATATGTGGTAGGTCCAATGATGTAAATAGTCCCAAAAAAAACAAAAACAAATAACTTTAACAATTTATAGAATTTGATATGAGGATCATGGCTGATAAGTTCATGTTTTAACATACCAAAAGAGTTGATGGTGACAACACTTCATCAAAACAGTTTGGAAAAGCTTGTAGCTAAATGTTGGTCTTCTCAGACAGCTCAGCCATAAGCTCTAATGCCATCAGAGGAACACCCAGTGAAAGTAACCTCATACTACACACTTCGGGTACCAGACACACCACCTGCCCCAAATTCCAATGGAGAAAGTTATTTGGAGTATACATCATTAAAAAAATCCAGTCTATGAGTATTTGTCAGAGATCCTTGTTTATTAAGATGCATTTCCTCCTCACCTCTTGGAGTCGGTCCCCTGAATCAATTTGGGATCCATCGACTGCTTCAGCTCTGGAAAGTCCTCGCACACCCATCTGAAACACAAAGAATCATTCGTTACACAGCCACACAATGGCAACACGGTTCGTGGAAATAATAAAAACAGTGCATAGTTGACTGAAACAAAACATCAAGCAGAAATGAATCACCACTGAAACGGATCATGATTGGAAGTGTTGGTGGAGGCAGTTATGACTAAATGTGCGAAAGCATCTTCATTAATCAGCTGTATAATATCTCCATTCAATGATAATAAATGCCCTAGACCCATTCGCCACCATGGATTGGCTTTGAATCTCATTCAAAACATGTGAAGTAAAAGAATCAAATTACAATCATGAGCTAAAATAATTTTCTGTGTGCAGTCCCTGATAAAAGAAACAGTGTGATTTTATCAATTCCTTAATGAAACAATAGCAGCACACGAGTCCTTGCTATTTATCACAAAGGGGGAAGACTGAATGCACTGGATTAAAAGATTCATTAAAAAAGATATAAGCTGTATTGAGGTACACCTCACTCATAGTAACTTGCCTCTTAAGTCTGTCATTTTTGAAAATTTGATAACATATTTTTGTTTGGTTGTTTAATGCCATGTTCACCAATATTGCAGCTATAAAGTCAGTTTGTAAATAATGAAGTCTTGACCAGACAACACAGGGACTGACAGTGGCGTTCATGGGCATCAATCTATGCCAATTTGGGAACAATGACATGAATCGATGAAGTCACCAAACCTGACCATCCGATCCTCATGGTTGCCTCCTACGACAAGCATGGGTTGCTTATTAAGACCAATGTTAGACTATGTCTTCGTGTAGCCTTGAAATGGCCTGTATCATGACACTGAATTTCTGCACCATTCCTATAATTATCATCTAACACTTCTACACAAGACACCTGCTTCAAGGGAAATCTTTTTGCTATTTGCTATTTGCTTTTTCCTAAACATTCTCTTTAAAATGATGTGTGATAAAAACAAAACAAATAAATAACTGATATATAGATTACCTGTTTGAGAACATGTCAAGTCAAACATGCCACAATTATTCACTCCTAACAGTAGTAACAGATCATTACAATACCTCTTGAGTACTTCTAAAACATGCTTAGGAAAAGGTTATTAGTGGATACAAGTCATTGTGGTTTCTGTTTTTCAAAACTAATGGAAAATATTTATTCTACTTCTTCAAAAACAACTTTAAGTACACCCATGATGTCTTTACTATCTTCCTAGAAACCCAATAACCATGGCTGTTAACAGAAGAAAATATTATCAGTAGCTCCTAATGGCTGAACCATTGTTACCCTTGAGCATGTTGAGTTAATAGAATTTGACATTGGAGATTGTTAGCTTGTTGGATAACATCTTTGCTATGAATTATGAAATCTGTCATCTAACTTATTCATAAGCACAATTCCCTGATGTTAACGACTTTTTATGACTCACACAATACTTTCACAAAGAAAACTGCAAATAAACACTACAGATATCAAGGTTGAAAAGCTAACAAGTAAAAATCAACTGCCAACAACCGCAAACAGCAACAAAGCGTTCTCCATAAATAACTTTTATATCCTGAAGCCACCTCAAGTTCTACAAAAAAATGTCCTTGCCTTATAACTGAGCACAGAAAGGCAATTAATTTCTTTCCCGACATCACCCACACCAACCCTCCAGATATGTCAAAAGTTGAAACAAATCCATACAGATGCTGGTGCCATGTCAAAATGGCAACAGCATCTTGTCTGCAGATGAGACAAAAAGGGCCAAATTTTTATCTATCCAGGTGTAAATGCATGTTAACATGATTAATGGGGTTTAAGAAACAGGAAGAAAATGTAATTTTTCAAGTAAAATTCATATTTTTATACTTATCCCTGACTCATGATCTTTTGCTTATCTCCCTTTTCCTTGCGAATGGTATTGGAACACTTGAATCCCTTGAAGTTCCCGAAGTCGACGTAAAAATACACTAACCCACGTGTTACCTCCCTTCTCCCGCGTAAACAGTCATGTGACCAGCCTTATTTGTCACTCTCTCCTGATTTTTCTGCCCAAGCACTTGGATCTGCTGTGCAATCCGAAATGTTTCAAGAGGGAAGGTTGGGAGGGCTTGACCTCATGAGTCAGGATAAGTATAAAAATATCAATTTTACTTGAAAAATTACATATTTTTTCTTATCCGGACTCATGATCTTTAGCTCATAGAATCCGACGGATTGGTGGTGGGTCAGGCCACTTCCTGGATTCATCAGCTGTCCTTAGATACGTCCTGTCCTGAATTTTCGTCTCCTTGTCTTAGTCTTTGAAGATATATCTTCAGGGCTCTGACCGGACACAAGGATAGGTCTTCTATATCCTCTGGTCCGAGGATGGTAGATAACGCTGGTACGTAGAACTGTCTATCTGGCTGACCAGGTAGTTGGTTCTTGGCAATGAAGTCCTATCTAAGTCCTAGATGAACTGCATAATGTTGCCCTGTATCAAATCTGGTTCGATGAAGTCCAGCGCATGTATCTCAGACATTTGAGCTGCCGTGGCTAGCGCAAGCAGGAACAGAGTCTTCTGTGTCAACAGCTCCAGTGTAGTCTGGTCTAGAGGTTCGTAGGCATCACTGGTAAGATGACGTATTACATTCAGATCCCAGGCCGGAGCTCTGAACTTCTTTTGCTGGTCCTCCAGTTTAAAGATCTCAGCAGAGCAAGTAATTCTGGTACTCTCGTCAAACTGATGCCTGTTTTCATGGTAATCACTGTACTGATGGCGGCGAGGTATGTAGATAATGTCGAACCTTTCAGATGTCTGGTCTGTCTAAGATGACACAGGTATTCCGCCTGTTGAGGATGAGTAGCTTTCATCGCAATGAAGTCTTTCCGCCTTGCATCAGTCTCAAACTTCAGCCACTTATCATCATACAGGTTACGAGTAGATCTGCATAACGCTAGCGTTACTGCCTTGGCTGCCCTGGCGGAGTATCCTCTTTTCTTCAAACATGTTTTGATACGGTCCAAACGTGTAACTGGAACAGTGTTGGGTTCCTGTGGACTTGCTTGTTGTGCGGATGTATGAGTAGGTTCGGCCAATCTGGTAACTTGATTGTTGGACTTCCGAGATCTTCTATTAGGTCTAGGAAACATACTCTCGCTGGCCAGTATGGCGCGACCAAGGTCAGTTGTAGCACCTGTGTCTGTTTGATCTTCAACAGTACTTTCTGTAGTAATATCAGTGGTGGAAACGCATAAGCCTTTAGTCCTTCCCATGATATGTTCAGTGCATCTGTTGCCCAGGCCTGAGGATCTGGAACTGGTGAGACAAACGTCTGTAGTTGTTTGTTGAACCTCGTGGCAAACAGGTCTATGCATGGGGATCCTATTTCCCTTATGATGAGCCGAAATGCTTCTGGATGGAGTAGCCATTCCGTAGGTGACTGGTGCAGTGGTCGGGAGAGAGCGTCTGCAAGCACGTTCTGGGCTCCGGGTACGTGACACGCCTTTATCCAGATGTTTCCCTCGTCCATGATGTCAAACAACTGGAATGTGAGCTGTAGTAGGCTTGGTGATCTTGTAGATCCTTGCCGATTTTGGAGAATGCCACAGTAGAGTTGTCCGTGTGGACCATCAGCATTCTGTTTATCATGCTCGACCATAGTTGTAAGGCGTTGATCACAGCTTTCATCTCCAGCAGATTGATGTGAAAATGCTGCTCTGTTTTGACCACTTCCTTGATGCAACTTGATTGTTGAGATGTGCACCCTAACCTTGTAGCGATGCGTCTATGTAGAGATGTGTGTCGAAGGCTGACAAATAAGGCTGGTCACATGACTGTTTACGCGGGAAAAGGGAGATAACTCGTGGGTTAGTGTAGTTTTACGTCAGCTTCGGGAACTTCAAGGGATTCAAGTGTTCCAATACCATTCGCAAGGAAAAGGGAGATAAGCAAAAGATCATGAGTCAGGATAAGAAAAAATAATCAATCATATCTGTAAAATGAGAATAATCTATGGGAGTGCAATAACATATCATTATTTATGTGGTTCTAAGAACATGATGTAGAATCATTTCATTTCTACAAAAAGAAAAAGTAAAATTATCCATGTTCCTATACCTTTTAGCGGAAGATCTGTACCGGATTTAACAATATGAACAGTGAGTGAGTTGGCAGAAATTGGCACTAGTCCTATAGTCCTGACCAAACTAGCCAATAGTTCAGGTGTGATAAGTTGTGCTCTGTGCTCCTACATGTCGCTTTAATGTAAGTGGAAAGCCGCGAGTGATGCAGGTCTCAGACATTTACCACTTTGATGAAACCAATAAATATGAATAGGTCCTAATAACCTAGAAACATAAATGGGCTAAACCACAATTCGAACACATGATGACAGTTACCGTGAGTGCCAAAGGGACACAACTCTGCAGAGGAATTGTCCCCACACATCTTCATTGAACATAAACAGGAACAGAAAATTACTAGCTTGATATACATGCGGGTTTGAGAGACTAAATCAAGGTATCCTTGTAATGTAATGTCTTCAATTGCCATTTTAATGAAACATTTTTTGCTAAACAAACAAATATCTCATTTGCTTGCATATTTCTTTCTGTCTGCTGAAAAGGCAATTTCTTTTCATATATATCTATCTACATGTACAGTACAAGCAATTAAGTTATACCCGTGACATCTTAACAAGATGAAATTACGAACGCCTGGCCATATTGACAACAACAGAGCCTGCAACAAATGATTTCACCACTTCTTTCAACTCCCACTGAGAGGTGCATCTCATAGCACATAATGTATTCACAATCCATAATAGGCCAAAAATAAACATGATGAGTAAGCACTTGATATAAAACAAGGCCAAGTTGCCTAGTGCAGTGTTCAGTACTGGCATACAGTCTGCTTGACTAAGCACCACTGTAACCTATTATACTATATGCATCAGATGCAGCACTGCACCTCTCGTTCAGCAGACTTGACTAGGTCACAGTGACCTAGGAAGCTCCTTAGGACACTGATGTTTGTACGTGCATT